GGGGGGTCCAGATTTTTCGGATTTTTTTTTTGCTCCGACTTAGCCGGTCGGTGAATAAGCGGGGGGGGGGGGGGGGGGGGGTAAGAGCACATTTTTTTTGTTGGTCCAGTTTTTGAGGAAAAATTTAGCCCCCAGTAGCGTGAGTCCACCCACTGGGGGGGGGGGGGGGGCTTGATCTATTGGGGGTGAATATGCATGTACAGGTCCTACTCAATGCGACTCTACAAGGTTATGAATGGCATGACTCGATCCAGGCGTCACTTTTTTTTTTCTTCTCTCTCTCGTAATTGTCCTCTTCTCCCGTTCCCTCTCACATTTCTCGCTATTCCTATATCTTATAATCTTTTGTTCACCACTAAATGGGGGGGGGGGGGAGGGGGTGGGACACTTGCCCTCTTGCCCCCTGTATAACTACGCCACTTATGTGTGACGAGGAGTACATGTACGCACGATGCAGCGTAGTCATGGTAATCAAGAGGGAAAATGTCTTTTACCAGCTAATGAAGATTCATTAATCTCGATCACTTGGCGTCAACCAAAGGTTTGGGCTCAAAGTTAATGAGGCCAAAGTTGCTTTGGGATGTTTTGTTGCATTTCATATATAGTGTCAACCGCTAGCGTACTTGAAAGAGGGATAAGGGGGAGGAAGCCAATTAATCTTCCCCTGCAGACAGATCATTAGTTACTACCTTTAAAAAAATGTACCCACTTAGTAGCAGCTGTGCGAATACTGAAGGGAAAACACATACATGAAATATACATCAGTTTTAAAAGCCTTACCCTATTTTATCCACAATTTATAGGGTAACAGTTAATGTGAATGTACCATAATTATGAATGACTTAAGCAATCAATTAAAGACGACGCATCGATAAAAAAAAAAATGAAAAAAAAAATGAATCAACAATAATCATTTTTTTTAAATTCAAGTCGTTGCTAAGATTATTTTTAAGATATGAATGTGTTAGCAAAGAAAATAATACTAAGCTGGAAGAATTGTTGAATGTACTTTAATCTTTAGCCTATGTTATGTTCCACTCAATCATTGAGTTATTAATGTACAAATGTATTATTATTATGGAAATAAAAACCTCGCTTGAGGATAAGAGAGAAAAAAACAATAATCATGACCGCCTCCTCTTTTACAATATGATAATTATTATGCATGGGATTAACCTTGACAAACTAACCTGACTTTGTTTATCCCAACCCATATTCTATTTTTCTAAATGTTTTCCAGTTTGTTTGCTTGGATATTTGCTTCTCTGTGTATACCTTTTTTCTTATATATAATTCAGGTTTTTAAATATCAATCTTGGCCCTATCTTTCATACTTGTTTTTTTAACTGACGTGCGAGAATGAGCAAAATGAAATGAAACTGAAATGAAATATATAATAATCATTTGGTAGGTACATAACTACTTACTACTTAGCATGATGTAATCGAAAGAAACTATTGTGATTTAATAAGCCAGCATATTTCACTTCTCAATACTAGTACATGCAACAACTGTAGTAGTTATTTATATCTGTCTAATCAGTCTGTTGTAATGTATGTACAAAGCAAATTTCTCATTTTGTATCTTTAGTATACCTTTTTGTATTTTCCTTTATTATTTTTGTTCATAAATTTCCTTGTATCTTCCCAAATATGTTCATTGCCTAATATCATGTACCTCTTATTCTATACTATGATGTAACGAGACAAATGTCTGGTTAATTGGTTAAAGATGAAGTTGAGTTCTGGTCATGCGATTGCATTGTGAAAGAAACGGTGTGGAATCGACCAGAAAAGGTTGATCATCTAGCATATAAGAATTTGTGTGTATTACAAGGTTCTGGAATCATCAAAATGATAAGAAATTTGGCCAAGTCTTGGTAAAGTTACAAACACTGTACACAGAAAGATGTATATGGGCAGGCGCGGATCCAGGATTTCTTAGGTGAGGGGGCCCAACTTTTTTTTTTTTTGCTCCCGAAAATTTTTAAATTCGCGCCGGCCAAAAATTCGCTCAGGGGGGGGGGGGGGGGGGGGGGGGGGGGGGGGGGGGGGGGGGGGTAGAGAGCACAATTTTTTTTTTGGTCGTCAATTTTTTTTCTCGATTTGCACCCCCCCCCCCCCCTTGAGCGCCAGGGGGGGGGAGGGGCCCAACCCCCAAAAAAGGTAAAAATCACGTGATTTTCTCAAGGGGGGGGGGGGAGGCCGGGCCCGGCCCCCCCCCTGGATCCGCCATTGTATATGGGACTACACGAACACTTGGCGTAAAAATCCTACCCCCGAGCTTTAAGATGTTACATGACATATTTAGAATATGAAGGCATTTGAAGAGCCATGCTTTTCAGGGAACATGTCTTATCTGATGTTCTTCCACACTTGCATAATACGAATGATAACGCTCACAAATTGTTTACCTCTTCCCAGAACTCGACCTTCTCTCTAAGTTTTATGCAATAGACATGACATAACAGACAAAGGATTACGTGAACATCTTGACTAATACCTGGGAAACAAGCAAAACATACCGAACACTGTTCATGTCATAAAACATAGTGCCAAAGTTCAATTCGAGTTAAGGGTTAGAAATTAGGTCCAGTAAACTTTGTGGGATTCACGGTGTCCGGTTAGTCTGCAAGCACAGACCCTAATTTGACACTTTATCAACAAATCATTGTGCCTTGAGAGAACTCTAGCCCAGCTACCTACTGGTTGTGTCAGGAGCAGCTACAGTACATGACCTATGGTAGTCTTATAGTGCAGACTCACTTTTACGACTGACCAGGGTTTGTGCTTGCAGACTAGTGTCCGATGGTGTATGTCCCCTCATATTGAGATGTAGCCTATAACGCATGATGGCTAGCGGATTATGGCACCTAATTTGAATACAAGAACAATTTAACAGAAATGTGATTCCTCTAATCTCTATACCTAAAACCAATTATACGAAATGGGCTCCAAATATTTAATTCAATTCAATTTATTTCCAATTTAAAAAACAATTTACAAATCAATAAAAAATACATATGAATAATAGTGGCGGGATCATGAAAAGCACCAATTGGCTTATTAAAAAACGAACCCAAATGACATAAATACCTTTACATCCTTCAACTTGCCCTTCAGTATACAACTCCGAGCCCCTTTGAGGCCGGTGCCCCCTTTTTTCTTACAATTAAGGAATAGATTGTGCCCCCATCCCCCTGCACCCCGCCCCCTCCTAGTCCGGAATCTGGCTGGTTCCGTTCATGTTGGCTCATTAAAAATGACCCCTTAACACACCGGGGGGAATTCAATGAATTATTGATAATTTTTTGCATTTTCTTTGTGTTTTTTTTATTTGTGGGAACTGCCCCCTACCTTAGCCCCCGCTGCGTACAGTCATGGTTCAGTGGCAAAGCAATGGCCTCGTAACTGTGAGGCCCCATGATCAAAACCGTGTCGATTTGCTTAATTAGTGCCCTTTTGTGGGGCATTAATTCTCATTACTGTCATTTATGGCTTAATGGCGTAGGTCCCTTAGTTGATAAGCATAGTAACATACACATGCTTTAGCAGTCACGCAAAACAAACACTGGCAAATTATTATTCAATAAAATCTGAGAATGTCTACTATTATCTAGATCTATTAGGAAGAAATCATTGTCAAAATAATTCCATAAATTGGGGTAAAAAAACATTCCAACTATATGAGCGACAGTGTACATATAAATTATGTATGTATGTTTATGTGTGTATAAATATATACAAAGTTCAAATATTTTCTTTTGACCACGTAATTTCTTACCTCTGTTATTTACATTGCTGTTTATCTTTATACATATTTGATTGTGATAGAAATCCGACAATATACGAATTTAGTAGATCATTGATTGCTTTTACCATTATTATTAATGTCGATGTAATTAATGTAAAAGTTTTGTATTGTAAAAGTCATTATTTATTCCCATGCTCACTGTTATATTAGGAATAGGGTCAAGTTGTCGGGTTACCCCCCCCTTAATTTGTTATGTGTGTATTTTGGAGGACCCCCCCCCCTTTGTTTGCTTTTTTTTCTTTTGAAAAAAATCCTGCGTGCGCTACTGATATATATGTATATTGTCTTACTATCATGTTGTATTAATATTAATATTTTATTTTCTACCTTTTATTGTATAAAGTATAAATTACGAGTAATATAATTTATTCTCATCTCTGTATTATATTTCAGGTGAGACATGCGGCAGTATGTATCACTCCTGGTTATTGTCACAGTTATCTTTACCCATCTATATGTTACACCAGGCGCGTACGCAGGATTTTTTCAAGGGGGGGGGGGGGGGGGGTTTAACATTTATAAATCGGGCCGAAAATTTCGCAACGACTCAGCCAGCCGCTGAATAAGCGGGAGGGGGGGGGGGGGGTAAGATCGTTGGGGGGGGGGGGTAGGGGGGTAAGGTCAACTTTTTTAGGTCTTTTTTTTTTTTTAAATTAAAAAAACACAAAAAAAAACAAGGGGGGTTTAGGGGGGGGGGGTTAACACACAGAAAAATACTAAAGGGGGAGGGGGGTTAACCCCCAACCCCCCCCCCCCCCCCCTGTGTACGCGCCTGTGTTACACTATAACTTTGAAATTTGTACACAAATTGAGATTGAAATCAATGAAGTTTGAATATTATATTCCCTACAATTAATTCAAGCTGCCGAAGATGGCGTTATCAACAAACTCCTAATTAGTGCTGTACTCTAATAAATGATTACCGGTACGCTATCTTCGGCTATAAAAGTCGCCGTACGCGTGGAGATTAAAATTAAATGGGCCTGATTCTGGATCTAGATTACCCCCGTCCTCGATAACAAAGCCCTGCATCCCTGTAAGTTTGCAGATTGTACTTTGTAGAAATAAAGAGTAAAAAGATCAACCGTATCCCTTTAATATTTTTATCTTGATCATGAGTTGAGAGTTGAGTCAAAGAGCGCCATCTCAAATATACCGCAACTTGTTTACCGAACAAATTCAATGAGAAGTTTTTGGTACTTTTATAAAGTTACGCGCACAATCGTGAATCGTGATTATATCATGATCATCGCATATATGCATCAGCTGATATGCGGTGATTGTGCAGTAGTATTTTGGCAGTCTTACGACAAGTTGTGATTGATAAAATTATAAAAGGCCCAGACAAATAACGGACTTTCATTCATTCTTCTCGTCTTATAAAACTCAACTTCCACCATGTCTTTCACAGACAAAGACGGCGAGAGAGCACCTCTCCTTGGGGGAGAACATCACAATATCATGGGTAAAAAAGGTGGAGCTACGGAAGGTGACAAAAATGGGGGTTACGGCGGCGTGGAAGTCGCTGGAGTAGCTAAAGAGCTTGACAGTGACAGTGGCAGTGGCACGAGTGTCGAAATCAAGTAAGTATAAGCCATCTCCTACGTACTCTCTCTCTTGATTACTTTCTCTGAGACTGAGAGTCTCCTTCACTTTATTGGTTTGTTTGTTCTGTAAAAATCTTTGACCTTTATTTATATTCAGTCAGATTCTCTACCCAAATAGCATTGACATTGTCATATACATGTACCTGTATTAACTCAGGGAAACTGCTTTGAGGGAGATCGTATGCAATTTTTTGGGGCTCAAACGGGGTGTTGAGTATTAAAAAAAAATTGAAGCGCTCGATCACTACCCCCCCCCCTCTCTCTCTCTCTCTCTCTATATATATATACCAATAACCATTGTCATAACTGGGGGCTGTCAACCTTGCCCCCCCCCCCCCCCACCCCCATACAATACGGTATGCTGGTACTCGTTTTATACGTTTGGCGGGAGGTTTTTTCATAAACTAGCTGGGAGATTTGCGTGAGGAAGAGCGTGGTTGCGGAAGTCTCCCACTCAGACTTAGCTGGTGGGACGCCGTATGAGAATGAGCGTGGTGGCGTGCGCGTGAGACTCCCTCCAAATGCGAGAGGGTTGACGGCCCTGCATAACTTGGTTAATGTTGAGATTGAGTGTAAACTATATAATATGTATTGAAACTGAAAGTAAACTAGATCTACCTAAAAACACAACAAAAAACCCAATAAATTGATGACAGGGTATAACAATTTTTGTTACTTTCTTCTATATATGTTCTATGAGTATGGTATTTTTTAATATCTCTATCTATCTTTCACTCTATCTAATCTATGTATCTATCTTTCTTTTGTTTGTCTTTATTAATTTCAAAAAAGGTTTTCCTCACAATTAGACAAACAAGTCACATTTTTGTTCTTTTTTCTAATTTGGCAGGGATGGTGAAGATAAACAGAAGGTTCCACTAAGTAAACTGGTAAGTAAAAATACAAAAAATGAAGGAAAAACTGAAACAGGGCTTCCTTTTTTTCAAAGGAGATATGTTTTCTTCTATATTCTTACTACAAGTAAATTAGTCTTAATTCCTCCTTTTTCAAAGCAAACATGTTTTTTTTTTAAATGAGGGGATCGATGCAGGATCTAAGAGAAGAAAAAGATGAAGGAGAAGAAGGAGATGAATAAGGAAGATAAGAGGAATGGGAAGAAGTAAGATATATACTAGTATACCAAGAATAATGATAACAAGAAGAACAAATGTTTAAAATGATAATGAAAATAATGATATTAAAACTACTATTAAAATCTACTACTTCTACTCATATTTTCATTATCTATCATCATCATTAAATTTGACAGATGCTAAAGACAGTGTATGTTTTCCAACAAATAAGTCATGCCTACAATAAGAAGAACTAATTATCTTATTTGCACTTTCATATCTAGCAATTTTGTCTGTATGTGACAAAGTTCAAGCATGAAACACATTTTCTTGCTCATTAAGGCTAATTGATTTATTTCTTTCATATTGTCTTCCAAATTTCCAGTTCAGGTACGCCACTGCTTTTGATTATTTCATCATGGTCATTGGGGGTCTAGCTGCCTTAGTCCATGGGGCCGGGTGGCCGGCACTCAACCTCTTCTTTGGTGACCTGATAGACGAATTCATTGACTTTGATACCAATACCACGCTACCCACCCTTCCACCCGGTGTCACATACCCACCGATTGATCCGATGGAGGAGTTTGACAAGCAGATGCGCAAATATGCCCTGATCTTCACGTATGTCGGGATAGCGGTAGTGTTTGCGTCTTATATCCAGGTAGGGATCGCTTCAAGAAATGTGGCTATTAGTATTACCATCTTCATCATCTCAAACATTGTCATCATCGTCATCATTGATTAACATCTTCATCACCATCGTTCTCTTCATCATCATCATCATTTTCATCATCATCATCAGTCTACCAACTGTACTGAGCTATCGCGCCTCCACTTTGGTAGATTGAATAAAGACTTGTAGCAACTAGCATTACATGTATACATGTATGTCATCTAATATTACAATAACATGTATAGCAAATTCAATTTAAGACCTGTGAAAATTAAATTCAATTAGTTCCAATCGGTCTACCTTTTTACACCTGAATACACTTTTGACTAGGATACTGATGTCCGATTTTTCTTGCAGGTATCTTGTTGGAGTCTGTCGTGTGAGAGGCAGAGCCATAAGCTACGGAAGGAGTTCTTCAAAGCTATTCTTCATCAAGAGATTGCTTGGTTTGATCAACACCAAAGTGGAGAACTCACTTCTAGATTGGCCGAGTAAGTAGTGTCATTTTTCACTGTTTCTTAAAAAAAGATTATACTCAAAGGATGTACTTGTACAGTCAAACCTGTCTTTAGCGACCGCCCAAGGGAAACACAAAAAGTGGTCTTTGTAGACAGGTTCCTTCAGTGCATGTTTCAATGAGAAACCATTTTCAAGGGAAACAAAATATGTGGTCTTTGTAGACAGGTGGTCACTAAAGCAGGTTTGACGTACATGTCAATGGATGATATGAGTTATTCCATGAGGTTGGGGCAAAAAATATGACAATGTCCTTGTAACGTTAGTATGAGATCTTCTACTACACATGGAAGGTGAAATCATCTGTTGAAGATTTTTATGCAATGAATATATATAATAGTGCCCTGCCAGAATCATTCCTGTTTTATTTGCTTCTCTTCAAAATCTTTGCTATTAAAATACTTTTTTTTTAAGGCAGCGTCACATTTATATAACATTACATAAACTTTGGGTCTATGATATTGATTCACCATGAAGCTAGTGTATTTATAAACATAGTTGGCTACATGTATGTATGCTTTTTATGCTAAACCCAATTTGAGCAAAAAGTGTTACAGAAGATAGGAGAAATAGTTTCTCACTTATGGTATGTCACAAAAAATGCCCAAACCTCAGGGAATGACCAAAAATAGGGTTGAATTTCATTATCAATAAGGTTTGCAGTGTATAGATCACTGTTGCAAGTTGGCAACTTTTGAAAAGTAAATGGGATGCATTTTTTTTTATCACAAATAGATGAAAGTGACCCCAGTATTGCCTCAAAACAATGTATTGGAAAAGAAACTAGAGCGACCCTTCACTTTCAATTCCATCAGATAGTGCTTGGTTTGACAAGCAGCATTTTACATTGAGATTAAGCTGAGTGAGTTGTGTTTACCGGTAAGCACTACCGGTATTCTTTAATGGCATCATTCTATTAAAACTCAATTAATATCTGGGCGGATTTCCCCTTTATTTCATTTCATGTTCTTTATTCGCTTAAAATTTAAAAGCTCATGTAAAATAGATCAAGGTGTTACAAAATTGAAGTTAACATTATATAAACAAAATAAAAAACAATCATTAAAAAAAAATTGAGTTCATTGCAGTTTAGTGTAGAGCATTACCTTCAGGAAGAGAAGCATGTAAATAATGATAGTTTCGCAAGTAAATACACAAGTGCAATCTTGTTTGAACATCACCACGTAATCAATGATTGCTCGTCACACCAAGCACTATGTTAGATTGTTGCTGAATGGTCGCATTGAGAAAACACAGCTTGGAACAGTGGAAAACCCACTTACAATTCAGATGAATACTAGTAGAGTTTACAAGTGGTGGTGTTTATATTATACATCACGAACCATTGCCACTTTAGAACAAGATGGTCTAGGCATACAGTTTGTACATGTCTTTGGTGGTGTGTACACTCTCTGTATAGTGTATACGCTATAATGCTGTTTTTAAATTTAGATGAAGTTGAGTTCTGGGGAGCGTTTCATGAAATAATTAGTTGGTGGTTTTCACCGACTAATATCATGTTCACCAACAATTTAGTCAGCGCTGACTAACTTTGACCAATCACAGTCCTGGAAAATAGTCGGTCTTAAAAGAATTGTTGGTGAACATGATATTAGTCGTTGAAAACCACTGACTAATTGTTTCATGAAACGCCCCCCAGGTCATGCGGTTGCATTGCGGAAGGAACGGTGTGGAATCGACCAGAAAAGGTTGATCATCTACATGTAGTATATGTATTCGTGTGTATTGCAAGGTTTTGAAATCATCAAAATTATAAGAAATTTGGCCAAGTGCTGGTAAATTTATAAGCACTGTACACAGAAAGATTTATATGGGACTACACAAACACATGGCGTAAAATTCCGTCCTGATTTTTACGTTGTTACATGCCATATTTAGAATATGAAGGCATTTGAAGAGCCTTGCTTTTCAGGGAACACGTTTTATCTGATGTTCTTCCACACTTGCATAATAACAATGATAACGCTCACAAATAATTTTTCACCTCCTCTCAGAATTTAACCTTCTCTTTACGGAGATTACTTACATGTAGGTGGTGTTTACACTAGCCTTTACTCATAATATGATAGGAAAATGTATCAGAGTGATTTTACTCTGCGTTCTTTGTTAATATCATTCACAATGACAATGCTTGGCTTGATCAGCACTGGAGTGTATGTAGTGCCCTGCCAGAATCGTACCTGTTTCAGTTGCTTTTCTTCAAAATCTTTGCTTAATACACATTTCTCTTTTTACCAGCGTTACATGGACACCATATAACATTTCATAAACTTTGGGTCCATAATTTTGATTCACCATGAAGCTTGAGTGCTTCTGAAGAACGTTGGCGATGCTTTTTATTCAATACTCAATTTGGGCAAACATTGCTACAGTCTCTCACTTCTGGTATGTCACAATGACCGTATAAGTAAACTTGAGATTAGCACAGTAAAGGCCCACCCCACCCCCTCCCCAATTAACCTCCAAAATGTCACCTATTTTGCTTCTAAAAGAAACTTCCTTTGAGTATTCACTGAGCATATATGGAAAATGTGGTGTGTCTTACATTTCATGTCATCACAAAAAAAGGTGTCATATCTGCACAGGGCCTAACACTGACCTGTAATTACCATGATCGGACCTGTGGTACGTCCATGCAGAAATAAAGTGTTCCAATCACTTTAATAAAAAAAATAATTTGATGTGACCCAATTAGATGGTAGGCACCGTAAAGGCCTGTTGTGTAAAGATAATTGATTATTACTTTAAATAATACAATTATAATTAAAAGCTAATCTCTCTCCACATGTGGTCCTTTTAGGTGGTCTTTCTATACAGGTGATCACTATTACAGGCAGGCTTAACTGCACATGTATTTACCAATATGTGTGATGTTATCTATGAGGTGTTTCATTAGACTTTTTGATCTGCATTGTTTGACAGTGACATGGAGAGAGTTCGAGAGGGTCTCGGTGATAAGATCGGTGTCTGCCTTCAATTTTTATCACAGTTTGCAACAGGTAAACACATCTGTATTACTTATTTTAGTAGATGTACATGTATAATACAGAATTGCATGCAAGCATGTTTGATTATAAATTAAAAATTAGAGAAAAGTGAATTTTCAAGTCATGGGTGTGAATTTTTCAGACATACCCGGTAAACTGTTATTTTTATGGAAATACCAGAATGATTTTATCCTCTCAACAGTATTATTTCTACACTGTAATACTGCTATTGTAGTTTATGTGATTTGTAATTCAATGTGGCTAGTGTTACATTATGACACCTACAATGTACAGTATCTTCAGACGTTACTTTGCCTTTGACATTGTGACAACCATTACTGCTACTACTACTACTTCTGCTACCTACATACTATGACTCCTTATCCTTCTGCTCTTTCTCCTCCTCTTCCTTCTTCTTCTTCTTCTTCTTCTTCTTCTTCTTCTTCTTCTTCTTCTTCTTCTTCTTCTTCTTCTTCTTCTTCTTCTGCTACCACTGATACTACAGCTACTACTACTACCACTACTACTAATGTTTTTTATTTCAGGTTTTGCCATTGGTTTCTGGAAGAGTTGGGAGCTAACCCTGGTCATCATGTCCCTGACTCCTCTCCTAGCAATAGCTGGTGGCTTCATGGCTTACGTGAGTATACATGCGAACCCTATCGGATCATAATTTCCTTTCATTTCCACCAGGACACAATTGTCCTACATTTATTTGTTTAATTTTTTTAAATATTTTATTAAAACACCTTTTAACATGATAACATTGATCAGCTCGCAGGCTGTTTTACATATATGGTCCTGCATAAAGAAGGAAAATACAAATTCAATAACTGACAATAAGAGTAGTTACAAACAAAATAGCAGTTTTATACAAATGGTAAAAATAGAAACAACACAAATAGGGAAGAAGAAAACAAATTAGGGAAAAATGATGAACTCCCAAGAGGCAATGTTGATAGCCCATCGCACACAATACATGTACAATCAGACTACGATCACATTTTGGAAGACTTTGCAATAGCATTTGATTTAAACATTCAGACTTATATAGAATCTCACTGACTGATGACCTGAATGGTCATATGATTCATGAAATTTCCATTTTCAATGGATTTCAAGCTCATGTCACTTGGAGGAGGAAAAGCTAAATTGGCCCTGAATTGAAGTGACGTCATACCAGTAGTACGATTGTTTACGTTCAGAAACCAATTCAGCTTCTAATCTGACTAGAAGGCTTAAATGCCCTAAAATTCTGGTTGTTAGCATTCTTATCACAATTTACAACCTACATTAAGTCAATAGGATGATGTTTGTTGAGATTTCCCTGTCTTTATATAATTGCAAAACCTTCTAAATCGTATCGCAAGAAGATTGTACTATTAGCAGTTGGTTTAAGATGTAGATTAAATTTCTTGCATCTGTGTTGAAGTAAACTGTAAACACAGTATTTGGGTATCATCTTGATATTTGGTTGTTTCTTTTTTTTTTTGAGGAAGAAAAAAAAAGAGCAATTTGCATTTTCAACTGAAACAAAATGCATCAGAGTCTACCGGTATTATAAAATTCCTGGATGGATTTGCCACTCAATGCATGGAAAGCTTAATTTATAATCCAATTAAAAAATTAGCAATTTGTAAGAATCTGCTAGGATTACATATGAGTACTAAATAATGTTGTAAACTAATGCAATACTATTTCAAAATATATATAAAACTAGTAGTATTAAACTACCCCAACAATCTGCTACAATTTTTTAGCAGATGCTTTTTTTCATACCAACAAATATAGAAGATGAACTAAGCACACTTGGACAGGTAACTTCTGTTTTCTAGATCTTTCTCTTAAAGGATACCATATTTTACTTTTAACTGAGCATGAAGGCTTGACATTGATTTTTATTTCAGGTAGTCTACTTGAAGCTTTAAACCATGTCTTCAAAATTATTTCATTTTCCAAAAAAGAAGATATTTTAAAGACTGTCATCTATAATACAAAACCGGTATGTCATCCGTGCTTTGAAACCTCAACTAAATCAAGGAAAAACAAACAAACAATCCATTGTTATACTTTATAAGATTTACAACTTCAGTAAACAAGGATTTCAATCATTTACAAGAATGAGTGCGCTGTAGTGATTAAGCAAGCAGGTCATGTGGTATAATGCATGTTGATGAAAAAAAAATTGCCACTTCCTTTTTAGTACACCTTACTTCCTGAACTGCCTGATCAGGGGTCATAAATTCAAAAACTTCATGAGAAAAATGATTCAGTTTATCAACAGTTGAATACGACAAGTGCATAAAGTCAATGATTCCATGAGTAGAATTGTTCACTGTAGCTGAAGTTGAATCTGGTTTATGGGTTATTTCATGAATAAAAGAGAACTCATATTATTAATTCATTCTCTTATATCGATATAGTTTTATGTAATTAAATTGATATCAATGATACCATTGAAAATACATGTAGCATAATAATTCAGGGGCAAAAAAGAAGCGATGTTATAGTTCTTTAAATTTTGAATGCATGAGCATGTACCTTTTGTGACTGTAAATATCAAGTTTTTGGAAGTATAAATTTTGCAAATATTGTTTTAATACAAATCATAACTTGCGCTGTGTACACAATTTCATTATACTCTTGTAATAGATCAGTTCACGGTTATATAATAATAATAATAAATTATATTTCTATAGCGCATTATACAAGGTATGTCTCTATGCGCTTTACATTGTACAGTATTACAAGCTTAATTAATTACATGTATCTACTTTTGAACTATGCTCAAATAGTACACCAGTAACTAGATACATAAACATTATAATTCATTCTTAAATAATGATACAACAATTATGGTGCAAGATTTTATTCATATATTACAAGTTGTAGAGAGTTCACGGTTAGCACATTACTGCAATGACCCCGAATATCCACAAATCTTCAAAACATGAAGAGGTCCCACTTTATACATTTTGAAATAATCTCTCCTACAGCGATGGAGGTGCTACATCCATGGTTCCACCTGTGTATCATGGAGTGCATAAATGAATAATGATTACATAACTTTCATGAGCACGTATCCAGTATTTCGCCTCCGTGTATTTCACAAGTTGTTCTGCAATGACCTTTATCTGTCTGAATGCTCAGACTGCAACCGTGAACTGGCTTATACTAATAGTCACATGAGAACAATTCCATTAAAAAAATACTTGTATAACGAGGACAAGAATATTACATCATACATTGGTGTGAACTTTACCACAGTCACAGTCTGATGTTGTGTTTATAGGGAAGTTTTCAGATATATTTTGAAGTGTCAAATAAGACAATGTATGCTGAAAGTGTGGTGACACCATTTTTTACGACTGAATATTTGCCACTTGAACCCTCCAAGACACTGTAGCGGGTCCTTGCTATCTTTGTGCCTGTTGGATAGATCAAAAGTCAACAGTCATAAAGGAGATAATGTTTTATTTCGAGATTTATCTTCTTAAAATAATGGTGCACAAAGTTCAGTGCTAATGACCAATTTTTATGTAGATTTATTGTATTATAATCGTACCTACTGTACTGTAGACATTGCTTTAATTACATGTAAGAGCATAAATTGACAAAAATTTTATCTTTGTATAACAACTTTCAACATGTACATGCATGTTGATTTTAGCTGTATTGAGATGCTATATATCATGAACATTTTTTTTCTTTTCCATAATTTGGTGAGGGATATTTGCATCAGGGACACGTATACTGAGATGGATGATATTGTGTATCATGTTGAACTCAGATGAAGAAAAAAATATACATATTCTGTTGACACCTTGTTGATTTTTTCATTCACATGATTAAACACTCAAACTTGTGCATTGTACTTTAATTGGCATGTACATTTATGTGTATGCAAGTCTGTTTCTTCTTTTTTTTCCCATATCAGTTCAAAGTTTCCTGATTTTTTAATTAATCTCTTTTCCCTCCTCAACTTTTTTGAAAGTTTGAAAAACAATAATTTATTAAATGAACCACTCTGAAAGAAGATTTCAAAATATAACTGGAAAACTTCTAATTTGTACGCATAAGTATAGATTTCATATTTTAACCATGTTGCCAATTTAGAGGATTTAATCATCATTTACAATTAAATAGTTCTTTTCAAGAATGGCGCAAATATATTCTGAATTTTCTGTGATTTTTGTTCTTTCTGCTCATGTATGATGTAATTTCTAGCATTCTGGATCAATAGATGATGCAAAAACCCTTGGGGGTACTCAAGACATGGGATATGTTGTAAAATGTTGTTTGGTATCAACATTTTCGGTAGAACCTCCCTGCACAACTGCTTAAAGTGGACTACCGTACCTTATAAGATATATGCTGCTGAAAAGAATTATCAACTATTTTTCAAAAAGAATTATGAACTATTTTTCAAAATGCATCCGGGAAGCTCCCCTGTTGATACCCAAACCTTTTGCAGGCATTCCATGTCTGGTAAGCCTGTCTTGCCTTTAAGGTAACAATGGAGGATGAAGACTTTGAAGAAGATGAAGATTGCAAACAGACTATAAATGCTAAAAATATGGTGATAAATGACCCTCAATATTGGTCAGTTTGAAGAGATAATCAAAGTAACCTTTGCCCATGGTACTAACCCATTTTGCTTAAATAACATATGAAATATTACTAGATGAAGTACAGTAGATTGATTGTTTAGCGCCTTTGATTAGGCAACTAGATATTGGCGCTTTATAACTTCCTGGGTTGGATTGGATTGTACGATTAAGAGTATTGTATTTGACTTCGTGTACGAAGTAACCTTTGCCATACAAACAGACCAATTTATGCTTAAATACCATATGCAATATTACACAAGATTACCAGATGAAGTACAGTAGATTAATTATATATGAATATTGCATTTGACTTGTAAATGGTGGCAATAAAGTCCTACAATAAAGGGCTTTTACTTCAACTTCATGAGTAACTATGAAGTTGATTTCATCATCCTTTTGAAAGCACTATTAATTACAAGGCAGATTGTTGTGGTTTTTTTTAAATAACTTTAATTTGAGGAGAAACTGACTTGTCTCAACCAAGATCGATTTGTCATTGTTGTCTTGTGAAAGGCTTTCATCTTGTAATTTGAAAGCTTATTTTACTTCTGTCATGAAAGAGCCCATTGACATGAGGATTGATGAATGTGAAAATTGTGTGTATTTTCCTGAGAGCACTTTATTCAAAGTAGAAGTGTCATGCATAGCATGTACAGTTTTGGTTAAATAGTCAAGTTCAGGCCTTCTCAACTGGCGGCATGCGTGCCACTTGTGGCGCTTGCGGTCAGTCGGAGTGGCGCGCGACTGTTGCAACAACAAAAAAAGAGAAAGAATGAAAGAAAATATGTATTTTAGAATTAAATACTCAGCTAAATCAAGAAGTTGCAGTCGAATTAGAGCCCAAAATGCCTGCTTTTAAACAAACAGGAAGAAAGGGGGCATTTATATCGTTTTTTACTTTATTTTGACATTTCCCTTGTTTATTGCACCCCCAAAACTACATATAAATTGACCTCCAGTCTAATGTACCCATGAATTGTACTAATTGTTCACATCAATATGAAATTAGAATTGCATTATATTGTGGAATGAAATGGTGTTAAAAATGCCCCATTTGGACCTTTAGAAAGCCCTAAAATCCACCAGCTTCAGAGGGCTCTGCCCTCTGCTACCCACCGTTGGGGCTTTACCCCATCGACCCCATCCGTTTTTGTCTCGGTCGCTACGCTCCCTCGCAGTACAGTCAAACATACAGGGTGGCACTTCAACTACAAATTCTTTTTGTTTTGGCACTTCTAGTGTTGAGAAGGCCTGGTCTAGATAAAGAACTTCATTTATCATATGACTTATTATGGACAAAACAGTTTTCCATAATTTCTACTTTCCATTTATTAAGTCCTATTTACTGTTGGAGTGTAACAGCAGCAACAGTATATCAACAGCAGAAAAAGAATTAACCAACAACAGCAACAACAAAAATAATAATAATAATGAATAAATATCCAATAGGGAGAAGGAGCTACATTGTAACTCCATCAAAATAGCTTTTGAGATGGTAAGAAAAAATTGTTATACAAGTTAGAGACAACTAGTATCTTCAGGAAACCTTATAAACATACACTGCGTGCAGAGGCGAACATTCTCTCTCAATTAAACTTTGCGAAATATTAGAATATTTGTTTAAAAGTCGTGAAGGGCTCAATGAAATTAAGCCCTTCTCCCTGTCTTGTTTCCTTGTACGCTGCGGGCCAGAACTTTATCAAATTATTCATTTTACATCATTTATTATTATTTTTTCTGAATAGCTGATAACATCATTCTCTAAAGCTGAGCAGGAGGCGTATGCTAAGGCTGGCAGTGTATCAGAAGAGGTTCTGGCTTGCATTAGGACCGTCATTGCATTCGGTGGAGAGCACAAAGAAATAAAGAGGTATTTGTTCATGTATAGGATTAACGTGTACCGGTAGTTTAAAGCTTTTTCCAACCTTAATTTTAAGAGGTAAGCTTTTGTCCACTCCTGTGGATTTTCTTAAGCCATTTGATTATTCTTGCAGGTTCTCAAGATCACTGGAGCAAAGATAGGTGACAATGAATAGACAGTGTCCCTATTCAGTGCAGGATAAGTAATGGGGGCTCTTTTGTGCTCTTTCAAGCTTGTCTACTAAATTTTAAGGTTGATAGAAGATTACATTTTGGTACATGTTTTTATTACCATAATCAATGAGAGTTTTCTGTATCATGTATTGTTTATGATAAATATTAGGAAATACATCTTTATGTACACGTTTGTTTGGTACCGTTTTCATAAAACATTGGTTCAAGGGAAACAAAAGCCAAAGGTGATCTTTATGGACTTGCTGTACATCTATTTCTATGCGTACAAAGCTGGCCTCTGAAGCATGTTTCACTGATGTATTCGTCAAACAAAAAACGCATAATTGTACATGTGTGTTAGAATGTGGTAGCCATAAATATACCTTTATAATCGTATGATGATTACAGAATATTAGTTCTTTAATACTCTTGGGGTTTTTTATCGAGAAAATATGTGTTTTCTTTCTAGGTATGAGAAGGAGCTGGAGGGTGCAAAGAAGATTGGAATCAAGAAAGGTGTCATCACTGCCTTCGGTCTTGGTCTAACATTCTTCATCATGTTCTCAGCTTATGCACTGGCTTTCTGGTAAGGTCAAAGGTTATGTGGCTGATCTGAGATCCCTGTTGATTCTGATGAGCCACACACATGTATACAGTGTGAAAGAATGATCCCTTTTCAGACATATAGATAGATACCGGTAGATGGTTTATTGGTTTCCACAATATCTCATTTTATAAAGAGTGTAACATCATCTTGACAATGATTATACTATACATGTACGAACAATACCGGTACACACTATTTAGGATATTGTACTTGAGTTGAACTTAAGAGATATAGTGGCAGAGCCTATGGAAAAGCAGAGCTTGTTGTCGATAGGCTCCTTAAACTACAAATGACATAATTAACTAAAGTTAAGTTTATAAAATACAAATACACGCTAAAACAGGGAAAGGGAGATTACAGGGATACATGAACCGATACTCACAATTAACTACAAAAAACAAGGAAAAGGGAAGGGAATATATCTGCATAATGCAGTAAGCCCCACTTAGACAGTATAGCTATCTACAGAAAAGACACAAAACAAAAGAGGTAAAACAATGTGAAGAAAAACAAATTGTGTGGAGATGAATGGCAAGAGGCAAAATGGATAGGGGATTAAAAAGACAAAGCTGCACCCAACAATGGCCCATCTGGTTCCCTAAAATGTCACTTTGCTTGACCCTCATTTCCTATTAGCTAACTATATCCTGGAGAAATTCAATAATGTAAATTGGAATCCTCCTTTCCCTGAAAATAGAATAGCATACATTTTGATCTTTGTCTGTTTTTAATTTATTTATTTCTGTTTAAAAAGACTTATAAATATACATCTTTGCGCATAATCAGTGTGCACAGCAGCAACATGGATTGAAGGCTTGCCTGTATTCTTGTGCCTGTGTGCAATTTGTTTTCTTTAGAATACAGGAAATAAATAAAAGATGCGGCCCTCTTTCTGACTTTCAAGAAAGCTTTCCAAAGGTTAATCTGTAGACATTGCTTTAATTCCCATTTTTAAAAGGGAAGACCCCAAAGTGTTATTCAAAACTTTACTTCCTTCAAGCTGGTTCCCTAAAATGTCACTTTGCTTGACCCTCATTTCCTGCTGACTAACTATATCCTGGAGAAATTCAATAATGTAAATTGGAATCCTTCTTTCCCTGAAAATAGAATTAATGTACGGTTAATGTTTCCTGTAAGTATAGTGAGGAAGCTTAGGTATTAAAATGAAATGACACAAAATGGCATTTCTGGAATGCAAAATGCAAAATGTTAGTGATGTTTGTTGATTACAAGTTCTTTTGTGACACATCTGAATGAAAGTTTAGCTAGCATGAAGACTCGTCAAGATAGTGTACCCGTACGCATTTTCCAGCTCCATATCCTAACGATGCGATTCTTCCTCTGTGTGATGAAATTACAATCTTCATCAATTACACCGTTGTCGATCTGGATGCGTCTTTTCATGGTAGAACATTTTGCCATTAAATTAGCTATCTATAGTTAAGTTAGTCAGAGGGATGTAATTTTTATGATTTTAAAACTTCGATTTACACAATCATTTATAGTAGAACATCAACTATTCAGAAAAACTTCAATTAAAGATTATTATATAAAAAGACCTGCTACCTGATTTTATCTGTAATGATTGTTTTCACAATTAACTTGTTTTCTTCAATTTGGGGTTCTAACTTTCCCTTTCATTTTTCCTTGAGATATGGCCCTCCAATGGTTAACTTTCATGAAACTATTCTTTCTAATAGCAAGTCTTTTAACAGTGGATGGATGGAGTCACTTTCGATCTATTTTCTCGCGATGTAGATCTAATTATTCATCATATTTACCCCTCTTCCTTCAGGTATGGCCCGAGGATGGTGAGCGAAGGTCGTCTGACCGGGGGAGAGGTCATGACAGTGTTCTTCTGCATCATGATTGGTTCGTTCTCCATCGGGAACATGATCCCGCCTCTTAGCACCGTGGCAACGGCTAGAGGAGCGGCTGCCATCCTCTTTGAAGTCATTGATGAGGTAATTTGGATATAATATCTGCCATTATGCTGGTTTTTATCGGGTGCAGTAGTTTGAAATCTCATAATCCTGTTCTGAATTAGCTTGCTGACTTTGCAAGCATCTTGCTTGCTTAATCAAGCATTTTTTATGCAACAAGCATTCAGGATGGTTCCAGTATCATGCCTATTAAAGGGAATGAGAACATTCAGTAGTCGATGGCTTCAATAAGACTAAATCCCTCTTGAAAAAAAGAATTTACTCTTTTTGTCATATTCTATTACTTCTTATAAACCTGACCAGATTTCATTTTGTAATAGTACTGTAAGATTAAGATAGGAAGAAGACTATTCGTGATAATTAGTCCATTTCATTTGGGACTTAATCCATTGTGCTGAATATCTATCTTCATCACAGGAGCCCATCATCGATATGCGCTCTACAGAGGGTCTGAAACCCGACACCATAACGGGGAACATCGACTTTGAGAAGGTCCACTTCACGTACCCCTCTCGACCCGATGTACCAGTCCTGAAGGGTATCAGTCTGAGCGTGAAGACCGGGCAGACCGTCGCCCTCGTGGGTTCCAGCGGATGCGGGAAGTCGACCACCGTCAACCTGCTGCTGAGGTTCTATGATGTTCTAGATGGAAGGGTAATTATATCTTCTCTATAAAGAGAAGGTTGAGTTCTGGGAAGAGGTGACAAATACTTTTCATCAATCCTCATGTCAATGGGCTCTTTCATTAAAGAAGTAAAATAAGCTTTCAAATTACAAGATGAAAGCCTTTCACAGAGCGTTATAATTGTTATTACATGCAAGTGTGGAAGAACATCAGATAAAAAATGTTCCCTGAAAAGCATGGCTCTTCAAATGCCTTCATATTTTAAATATGGCATGTAACAGCATACAAATCGGGACAGATTTTTACGCCACATGTTCATGTAGTCGCATATAAATCTTTCTGTGTACAGTGCTTGTAACTGTACCAAGACTGGGCAATACAATCGCTTGACCAGAACTCAACTTTCTCTTTAATGATAATAATAGTAGTAGAGTGTGGCAAATGGTGATGAATGTCCTACCTGAGAATGTTAGCGCTGTGGCCAGGATTTGAACCCTAAACCTTGTGATCCGCAGTTCAGTGATTATTCACCAGGCCACAATTATTTTGCATTAAGGAGATATGCATACCTCGTGCTTGTGCTTTGTTGATTCCCTCGTCTCCACTCTGATGACAAACAGTTATCATAAATGAAATTTCAACATTCAAATTTCCTGTCTTTTCCTTTTTGTGTTGAAGTTGGCATGAAAGATTGATTTAAAACAAGTATAACATTTAGAAGATTTCTTTTGGATTTGGAAGAAAAAAAATCTTTTTGTGTTAAAGTGGGCATGAAGGATCGATTTAAAACAAGTATAAAATTTAGAAGATTTCCTTTGGATTTGGAAAGAAAAAGGGGATGAAAAAAAATCAAGTTTGACTCATGAGGATGTGGTATGGTAGTTTAAATCAAGATGATATTAACTATCATACATCCCTTTAGGTAAAGCATTAGATTCTCTTCTCCACACAGCCTTTCTTGATGGTACATGTTCATCTCCACAAAAGTGTTTTGAATTGATGCAAAATTCATATCATTGTGAAAGGGAAGCTTTACTGATCAAATAAATATAACAACTTCCCTCTTCAAAATATGTTTGGGGCCCGCAGTAATCATCGGTCCTCCGTTGAGCTTCAAGATTTGTGACGTCACATGCGAGACACAGCTAGCCACAAAGCATTTTACGCCTTTCCATGATATCTATATGATTTTCAGCAAATTATTTGTGTTTTTCAAGTGAAATCTCCCCATCCATATATGAATTGTCCATAATTATCAGTTGTCATGAATTTTCTTTGGGTGACTACTTTAAGTAAATCCTCAACTCTTTGATTAAGCAGCATCTGGATGAACTACCCAAGGTACAAAACATCCAATGACAACCCATTCTAAACCACTATACTTTCCCACTTTGTACCTGTGCTATAGATCTTCATCGATGGCAACGAGATTCGTGACCTCAATCTTCGCTGGCTTCGTCAGCACATCGGTGTGGTGAGCCAGGAACCGGTCCTCTTCAACTGCTCCATAGAGACCAACATCTCTTACGGACGAGACGGTGTTACCAAGGAGGAGATGGTGAATGCTGCAAAGATGGCCAACGCCCATGACTTCATCATGAAATTACCCAAGGTAGGTACTATGATTGTGTGCGATGCAGCAATAATAAATCAGGGGGTTGTTTCACAAAGCCTAAGATCAACTTTAAGTTGGACTTAAATTTGGCAGGCCATTCATGCCACTGTTTGCTCTCACTGTTTACTGGCATTGGTCTTTCAAGGGACGTACACATTATGGTCACAAATCTACAGAATTTTTATATTTTTTTCCTTATTGAAGTAAAAAATGTTATCTAAAGATCATAATTGAGAGATCAATGGTGAGAGCAACCAGTGACATGAATGGCCTGCCTTAGTTAAAGGTAAAGACCAGTTATGGTCATGCAATTGCATTGTGAAAGAAACGTTGTGGAATCGATCAGAAAAGGTTGATCGTCTAGCATTTAGCATCTGCAAGGTTCTGGAATCATCAAAATGATAAGAAATTTGGCCCATTCTTCGTAAAGTTACAAGCACTATACACAGAAAGATGTATATGGGGCTACCCTATATCTCTCACAGACCATGAGAGAAACAAATTTACCAAATATATGAATTAGTAGGCGGTTTCCCGGCAAATTTTTTATCATCATGTATTAGTCAAAACATATTCTTTCACATGATTGGTAATGAGAGCTTCCATTTCATTTTTTGAAATTGGGGCGTTTCCAATACTGGTCTTTACCTTTAAGTCCAACTTAAAGTTGATCTTGTCTTTCAGTTTCAGGCATGTCAGGTTGCATTTTGTTCATGATATGGGGCTCCAATGTGCCTGGGTATTCTTTCCAGGTTCTCTGGGCAATGACACCGGGGATCCTTGATAGTAAATGCATATAGAATACTGGAGAGCAATTTAGCCCCAGCAAAAAAAGAGAGAAATAGTTGTAAATGAACATGAAGGATATCTCAGTTTAACTTTTCAAAGGTGCTACCTTGAATAGACACAGATACCTTGTGTTACCACAAAACATATCCAATTTACACAAAATTAACATCCTTTCTTCTGACTTTCATATTTATATTATAATAATTTAATTAAGTTCCATAAGTACTGTATACATCTTTTGAGTTTCATTATTTCTAATTACCCCTTATTCTCAGGGTTATGATACCATTGTCGGAGAGCGGGGTGCCCAGCTGTCCGGTGGTCAGAAACAGAGAGTAGCCATCGCCAGAGCTCTGGTCAGTAACCCTAGGATACTGCTACTGGACGAAGCTACGTCTGCTCTGGACAGCGAGAGTGAGAAGTTGGTCCAGCAGGCCTTAGACAGGGTAAGTTGCATCGGGTGGGTAGATAGATGGATGGGTGGGTGGGTGGGTGGATGGATGGATGGATGGATGGATGGATGGATGGATGGGTGGGTGGGTGGATGGATGGATGGATGGATGGATGGGTGGGTGGGTGGGTGGGTGGGTGGGTGGATGGATGGGTGGGTGGGTGGGTGGGTGGGTGGATGGATGGATGGGTGGGTTGATGGGTGGGCGATGGGTGGGTGGATTGGTTGGTAGATTGGTGGGTGGGTGGTTGGGTGGGTGGGTGGATGGATGGATAAATGGATGGATGGGTGGGTGGGTGGTAGGGTGGATGGGTGGATGGATGGGTGGGTGGGTAGGTGAGTGGATGGATTGATTGATGGATGGGTGGGTTGGTGGGTGAGTGGGTGAGTGGGTGTGTGGGTGGATGGATGGATGGATGGGTGGGTGGGTGGATGGATGGGTGGGTGGGTGGATGGATGGATTGATGGATGGGTGTGTGGGTGGGTGAGTGGGTGTGTGGGTGGATGAATGGATGGATGGGTGGATGGATGGATGGATGGATGGGTGGGTGGGTGGATCGGTGGGTGGGTGGGTGGGAGGATGGGTGGTTGGGTGGGTGGGAGGATGGATGGATAAATGGATGGATGGGTGGGTGGGTGGGTGGGTGGTAGGGTGGGTGGGTGGATGGATGGGTGGGTGGGTGGGTGGATGGATGGATGGATGGGTGGGTGGGTGGGTGGGTGGGTGGATGGATGGATACACATTTAGGTGGGTGGGTGGATGGATGGATGGATGGGTGGGTGGGTGGGTGGGTGGGTGGATGGATGGATACACATTTAGGTGGGTGGGTGGATGGATGGATGGATGGGTGGGTGGGTGGGTGGGTGGGTGGGTGGATGGATGGATACACATTTAGGTGAATAGAATGGATGGGGGGATGTATACACCTCAGATTTAATAGAACATCAGACAGCTGGATGGATAAAAATAGGTAGAAAGAAAGGATGTATAACACGGTACATGAGTGGCCGTCAATGTTATAGGTTATCACTGGATATTGCAAAAGAGGTTTGCTTGGTATCACTACATCCATCCAAAACAAATTCTTCACTAACAATGCATGTTTTTAATCCTCTACCACTCTAGGCCTCGGAAGGACGTACCACCATCGTGATCGCCCATCGCCTCTCGACCATCCAGAATGCTGACATCATCTATGCCCTGAACGACGGGAAGGTGGTGGAGTTTGGGAACCACGCCGAGCTGATGAAGGCTAATGGAACCTACAAACAGCTGGTCACTCTGCAGATCATTGCCAAGGAGGAAGGAGAAGAGGGTCAGTACAGGAAATTAGGTTGTAAATGTCTAGGCCAAGAAAAGTCTTGGATATCATTGGTTGGGGTCAGAGAATTTATGATGTTCTAGTTATACTCAAATAGCTCCTGCAGCCACTATATAACATGCTCTGTGTTGAGGCAATGAGCAGTACATCTTATACACTACAGTAAATGTTGAGCTGCAAGAAATGAATTTTGATTTCGCTACGTACAGTTTAATATAAATATGGCATGAAATTTTGTCACAGTATAAATAGGTATATGCATACAAAATCTCAAAATTGTAAGTCCAGACTTGTAATATTGATGATAGTATAACATTCTTGTACAATGCATTTCAACATTGAACAAAAACAAATGAACACGTTACAAACAGATTTAAAGCACAAAGTTTGTTGATGAGATAGTAGGACCTTTTAATGCATTGCCTAAGGAAACAGGTAAGTCAAGAATTCACTTGTCAACAAGTAAATTTGAAGGTGAAAAATCCAATGAAGCAAAACAAAATGGAAGTCAGGGAACAATGCCATAACCATCCATCCATATTTCAATGTCGGTAGTTTGATTCATCAATAATCCTGATGGAATTCTATCATTTGCTCTCCAGATAATGCGGAAGAGGTGGGAGAGCTGATGAAGCGTCAACCCAGTCATCACAAGATCTCAAGGCAGCTCTCGCATCAGAAGTCACGCCATCTCTCGTCAAGCAGTCTTGACGATGGAAAGAAAGATACAACTGATGAGGTATGTATATACAGAGTGAGTCAAAAAAAAATTTACACCTAGAAAATTGCTAATTATTTCAAAAATCATCTATTGACAGTAAATAATTATACATCTTATGAAAGAGTGTTTTTTCCCAAATCATTTGGTATCATTTATGTGTGGTATGTGTTCATGCTTGAATGAACAGGCGGCATTGTTTGCGAGAGTGCAAAAAGCGATTTTGCGCCAAAGTTGCTTGTGTGATGTTTGAATAAAAAAAATTAGGATTTGGTTATTAATTCGGTATTTGCAGATCGAAATAACATCCCTACCAAAATGAATCATGCAACACATATCAAATATCGAATATCAAATATCAACGAACATTTGACCGCGCGTGTGTGACTTTGCTTCTGCAAAAGCATATGCAATGCATTTCATTTGATACATTCAATTCATTCTCTCATTGCGCTAATCCCAACATAATACATGCTGTAGGCATCAATTTGGCGCAAAGCGATTTTTGCACTCTCGCAAACAATGCATCATGTTCATCCAAAGCATGAACACAAACAACACAAAAATGATACCAAATGATTTGGGATTAAACACTCTTTCATAAGATGTATAATAATTTACTGTTCATAGATGATTTTTAAAATAATAAGCAATTTTCTAGGTGTAAACTTTTTTTTGACTCACACGGTAGACAGCATTGTCACGGGGGAGGGAGGGAGACAGAAGGAGGGAGGTAGAGGGAGGATGACGGAAGTTTTGACATATCTCATCCAGCAGTGCAAAGGTCGAAAAGAGAGATAAAAACTGCTTAATTTTACTTTAAGCTTGTGATTATTTATGTCATTTGCATACCAATGTGAATAATGATTTCATATTCTCTCTAAAGAAGGAGGAAAGAGAGTTTCCTAAAGCTAGCTACTGTGGCGTATTGAAGCTCAATGTTTTACTTTCTGCTTGTGATTCATCTTATCACTGGGATACCAAATGAACCATAATTTTATACTACTATTTACAGGAGGAGGAAGAAGAGATTCCTAAGGCTAGCTACTGGGAGGTGCTGAAGCTCAACGCCCCTGAGTGGTATCTCATCGTCATCGGATGCTTCTTCTCAGCCATTCTAGGAGTCACTATGCCCGTCTTTGCCATCCTCTTCAGTGAAATTATCAAGGTTAGAGAACAAGTTATTCCCAAATGTCCCCCTGATAAGTATGAAATGTTCTTCTGTGTATTAAAGACACATAGAAGTCAGCTCTCATGGGGAATTCGACACTGTTCGGGTGTTTACCCAATAACAGGTGTTTTTCACCACCAGGGTTAGCCTTCAGTTTTATGCCTACCGTATTTGCCGGCGTAAAGGCCGCACCGCCGCATAGGCCGCAACCCCAACTTTGACATTTCGTAGAGAGAAAAAAAAAAAACGGACCAAAGAAAATAATCATAATTATCTCGTAGAACTCCATTTTTCCTACAAACTAATACCAAAATTATCAATCATTTTATAAATTTACATGAAGTTTACCTAAAAAATGATCGTAATTTAGCAAATGATCGTAATTTAGCAAATTTTCATAGATTTTTAGGCAGATTAGCACATTCATTGGACACTAGAGGGCGCTTCGCATGCATACAGAAACATGAATGGCCTGCCATAACCAAGCTGTGGCCATAATGTTATCCGGTCTTACCCCTATCGTCCCGCCAAATGGAGAAAATAAACAAGCTTTTGTATTGTTATTAGAGATCTACCGAGGTTAGTTTTTCGCTTTAATTAATTAGATAGTCTCAATTATAATTCAGAATTATCTTACTGAAAAGTTAAGAACACCGACGATTGCGCGAATCTCCGAAGCTGCGTTGGATTTGTTGCAACTCCCAGCCTGGTAGCTCCCCACCACAGAGTGTGTGAGCGAGGTATGATTTTGGTTACCGGGCCATGCGCTGTCTAAGCCAAGGACATTTTTACAAGTACGATTTTTAGTACGAGTTTCTGGTCAGTTTTCTTCTTATTTCTTTGGTTGCACAACGATTAAAAAGATAACTTCTTCAAAATTTGCTGCTGACGTGGTTCAGACTAGATCTTGTCCGATGTGTTTTCAAGTCAATTTTGTTAATATATTTTTTTGTATGAAGTTGCCTACAAATAATGGACGTGCTGTTTTGACTTGCGATTTTTTCTGTTTCGGCGTATACGCCGCACCCCGACTTTTTGATATTTTCTCTTCCAAAAATACTGCGGTCTTTACGCCGGCAAATACGGTATTAGACCTTATGTAATGCTTTGCTCTTCCCTCACTGAAGACTCTCAGAGAGACTAGGGGATAATTCTCGATTGGCCTACGGGTTTGCTGTGTGCAGATTTGTACTTGGTATTTCCACCAAGTCTGGTGTCAGCGAATTATGGCCTTCTGCATGTAGAAACTGACGATCCACTCCCTTTAACAGTCGATCTTTGGTGTTTAAAGCTGTACAGATCACTCAATAGACTTGTTGGGAAGAACAAAAGCCACTGCACAATATGCAATTTAGAAAATGGTTTGTTAAATTAAAGTATTTCTAAGAAATGAAGCTTAATGATAATGATAATATTCTGGGTTTATGTAGCACTTAATACATTTACGGCATCTGTAAGCCCTTTGAAATTTCTGGTATAAGTGTATCTTTAGTGTATCCAAAGCTGCTCCAAAAAGCACCGACAATTGATTTTTTGCAATAGAGTTGGTTTGGAAACAAGAAACCGAGTTTGAAGGAAAAACTGGAAATGTTTTATTTTTTTATATTTCTTGCAGCTCTTTAGTTTACCTAATGATGAAATAGAAGAGGCAGCTGTGTTCTGGTCCTGTATGTTTGTAGCTCTTGGAGGAACCATGTTTGTTGGTTACGCCGTCAGCATCAGCTGTCTTGCGATATCTGGAGAAGAACTGACTCTGAGGCTCAGAAGTAAAGCATTCTCCACCATTCTACGACAGGTTGGTCACCCCTCCTCTCCTTTCCTTTTTCATCCTTTTTTTCCCTCCCTGTATCTCTTCTCCCATCTCTTCTTACTTCCATCTCTTCTTCTGTTCTTTCTTCCTCTTCCTTTCTTTGATCTTCCTTTTCTTCTCTTCTTTCTTTCTCTCCTTTAATTGTTTCATCCTCCCTTTTTGTAGCTCCCACCTTTGCTCCATGTCTTCTTTTTCCCTCCTCTTCCTTCTCTAGATCTCCTCCCATCTCTGTTTACCTCCATCTCTTCTTCTACTCTTTCTCCCCTCTTCCTTTTCTTCTTTCATCATCCTCTTTCTTCATCTTCCTTCTTCTTCTCCTGTTCCCCATACTCCTTTTATAATTCACCTATCTGTTCTTCTTTAAGAAAAAGTACATTTTTGCCATCTTCATCACAAAATTTAAACTTTTAGTGTCAAGAGTAAATGTCACCTTGTCAATTTTTCCTATCTCCTCTGTTTTTTCTTCTTCCACTTCATTTATATTTTACCTCATTTTTCTCTCCCTCTAGTTTTGTTCTTCTCTTCTTCCGTTTTTCTTTCCCTTCCTCATCTTCATCATTGTTCTCTTCCTTATCTGCTCCTAGCTGTGCTTTGTTTTCTTTATCAAACCTGGAGAGCCAAAAAGTGAAGCCCAATCTACTATTTTAAGAAAGTTCAACACTGCCTTCTCTCCTTTCACCTCCTTATCCTCCTTCTGTCTTTCTATCCTACCTTTATCTGGTTCCTTTCCCCTCTCGATCTTCTCCTTCCATGTCTCCTCCTTCACCTTTTTCTTCCTTTTCCCCTTTTTCCCCCTTCTTCCCTTTCCCCTTTTTTCCCCTTCTTCCCTTTTCTTATTCCTCTTCTTCGTCCAATTCTTCTTCAAGGTGAGGATTATTTATAAATCTGCCAACACAAACTTTGAGGCTCAGGGTTTACACAGTGACTTATGTTTAACTCACAAGTTTTCTCTCCACGGCAATCATTGAAACTTAACCTAATTTCCTCTTTTCGCCCCAGGACGTTGCATTCTTTGACCAACCAACTCATAGCACAGGTGCCTTGGCTACTCGTCTTTCTGCTGATGCGTCAAATGTGAAAGGGGTAAGTTTTTTGGTGACCTGATATTTTGTAATCATATAATAATAATAATAAAAATGTTACTTATAAAGCGCTTACCACCGAAGTCTCTAAGCGCTATACACACAAAATAGACTGATATACAATTACATCTTATACAAAACTAAAAATGCAAATAGACATACAAATTGCAATACATATGGAATACACGTCAAAGTGAACAGAGTTAATTAATCATCAAACGCAATTTTGAATAAATGTGTCTTGAGAATCCCACTGAAAGACTTGCACTGGGCTTCATTTCATCAAAATAAAGGGTGAGGGTTAGGTTTGCAACATTGCTTTATGCTGGGTTTAAGGTTAGGGTTACGCGTAGTGATGAGCCTTGTATGTGCACAAGTTCTTTGTTGTTGTTGTGGTTAATAACCTATACCAGTGTTTAAAGGGTTGGCATTGAGCTTTAATATCAAGACAAGAAAATGGGTAATTTTAAAAAGCCATTGTGTGCTCAAAGCAATTTTTTGTCAATTGGTACATGTGCCTATAGTTTTGTGCAAGGTAGCATGTGTGGCAAACAAGCCACCATGCAGAGAGGCAAAGAAAGCAACCAAAATTGTGAAATCTTCTTTTTCTTTTTATTTCCTTTTTTCGGGGGGGGGGATGAATTTTGAGTACTATTCAAACTGAAGCTGTTCATTTAGTGACTGTGTTCTCATCATCCCTTCAGGAGATTGTGCACACAGTGTGTGCAAACAAGTATTGAATCCAATGACCGGGGTAATAGTATATCTGTAAAGTGCTTAGAGACATTTGTATTAAGCGCTTTTTAAAAGCAGAATATTATTATTATTATCTCACCTTTACTCCTGCTTTCAGGCGACAGGGGTGCGCCTCAGCACCCTCTTCCAGACGGCGGTCACATTGGCGGCAGCACTCGTGATCGGGTTCGTCTTCGGTTGGAAGCTAGCCCTGGTGGTCCTGGCCTGCGTACCCCTGCTCGTTGTGGCCGGTGGCTTGCAGCTCAAGCTCATGCAAGGCACACAGAAGAGAGACTCCGAACTCCTAGAAGAAGCTGGAAAAGTAAGAATTTGCTTGCTTTTTTAAACAAATATCAGAGAAAAATGGTCATTGTATCTCATGATTAATTTTTCATTTTCTAAAAATCTTCAAATGGATTGTATGGGCATAGTAGAATCATTAGGAAGATGAAAAGAAGTCCAGAGCAGAAAAGCAAGAATATGTCAAGAAATTAGAGATTATCTCCAAAGGACAATAATACTAATGGATTCATCATCGTACTGTGGATCACAATCTCGTGATAGCAATAATGTCTTTTGGCAAGACATTAATCTGCATTTGTCACACTCTACCCAGGTGAGGTAAATGGGTACCCAGTAGAAAGAAATTCCATAGAATGTTTGAGCACTGTTTCATGGTAGCTCAGCTAAAGCCAGGTTAATAGTATGATTGCAGATCGAGCCCTTGGGGAGAATATTATTGATACTGATGAGACTACCCTGGATACACAAGACATTTTATGATTATTATTCTTATTGTTATCATCATCATTATCATCATCATCATCATCATCATCATCATCATCATCATCATCATCATCATTAAGACAAGGCATATGATTTTAAAAGATAGTAAAACAATAAACCTATACATGTATTTCTGCTGGTCATGGGAGCATGGCAAACCTCTTTGCTATGCCCCACCGGACAAAATAAAAATAAGAATAATTGCCGTTTACCCACAGCTAAAGGTTGAGGGCCATGGCTTCCAGGGCAGCATTTCATGAAACCGTCATAAGTACAAGTTCACTGACATCCCATTGAAACGTGTGTTATAATTAATACACGCATTTCAATGGGATGTCGGTGAACTTGTACTTATGATGGTTTTGTGAGACCCTGCCCAGGCTCATCGTGCCATGGTAACCATTTGTTATTATTTACATGAATGTTTTTATCTCTTGAAAAAAATTATCGTCCATCATTATATATTTACTGACATTAAAATACTGGTACACTTCTACATAAAAATCTACATTCCTTTCATTGTTTGACACACATAGATTGCTGCTGAAGCCATAGAGAATGTACGGACGGTTGCCTCTCTCACTCTAGAAGATAAAATGTACCAGGGATATGCCGATATGCTGCAGCTGCCTTTTGTGTAAGAAGCCCTTTGTTATTCATAGCGTTGTATTTGGAAAGTGTGTCATGAATAATTTTTCTTTCCAGGGTCTTTCGTTTTTCTTTCCTTTTTGTAATTTTCCAGTGTGAGACTGAACTCGATACACATCATGTTATCACAGACTTTTTGTTATATGTGACGGTTTCTCGATGTCTTTGACGTTTTTTTTGTTATCTTTGATGTTTTTTTTGTTATCTTTGATGTTTTTTTTGTTATCTTTTACGCTTTTTCGTTATCTCTAACGTTTTTTTCCTTGTCTTTGACGTTGTACATGTACCTCTGCAGTCAGGGCCAGGTGAACACTCAATACTATGCTGTAGCCTTTGGCATCACCCAGGGCATGGTGTTCTTCTTGTACGCTGCAGCCTTCAGGTTTGGTGGTTACCTTGTATCTCAGGGAGAGATGACGACAGATGAAGTATTCAAGTGAGTTCTAACATACCTCTTGTACTTATTGTTTAAAGCCCCGATGCACTACTCATAGCTACTTGAGCCCTCTATATAGTAAACGATGCCTAATCGGTGACCATTGGTCCCCCGGTCCCCCATGATCCTCTTTTTCTTATGTCAATTGAGAGCTGATTTGATGAGATAACCACCTGTCAGTGACCATGCAGGGAGAGCTAATCCCTCCTGGCCAAACTAGTGCAGTGGGGCTTCTGTATTTCTGTTATCTCACTTACTTCATGTTAATATGTCTGTCTATTAAGTTTATGATAACAATTTTAAAGAATGAAATAAAATTTCATCAACAAAAAGAAGGAGAAAAGAGAAAAGCATTATAAAACATCCAGATTGTCAAGGGTGAAGAAGAGAGGAGACAATATTTACATCCAGGCCTACAACGAAACTTTAATTGGAGTTATATGATTCAAACATCCAATTCATAAGACTGTTTTCAGAAATTCAAGATGAAATACAGAGGAAGTTCATGATAAAGAACATTGTTGTAGCAAACATTGATAACAAGGTAATTTAGTTGGTCCAACTTCTATGTATTTAAAAAAAATTTGTTAGCCCTTTTATAACCTTTAAAAAAAAAATTTAACAAAAGTAATATCATTTTTAGTATTGCAAATATCATAATTTGAGCTGTTATATGTAGAACAGCCTATGACTCTGGAAAGATTCATATTATACTTATCCAATGACTTATGTTATATTGCTTTCTTGATTGCAGAGTTGTCTTTGGTATCGCCTTTGCCGGTATCTCACTTGGTCAAGCATCAGCTTTCCTGCCAGACTATGCCAAAGCCAGGCACTCCGCTAATGTCATCCTCAATTTATTTGCCACAAAACCTCTTATTGATAACTATTCCAAGAGCGGCCTTAAACCTGTAAGTCAAAGATATTTGTCACTTATTTGCTGATTAAAAAGTATTTTAGAAGATAAACATCTGAAATAGATACAACTGGTTTGAAATATTTCAATATGCTTATCCATGTACAAACACCAATACCGGGTACATGTTGCTCACTACGAATCCTATGCACTGAGCTACTCAGAGAACAAACCTGATTTTGGGGTGGTTATGGGTGGTAAAATGTTTTTCATTTTCATGTTGTGTCTTGTGATGTATTGTGATGTGTCATAAAATGATCAATATCAGAGTATATATCTTGATGAAATGAATAACACTGTCTCTTTAAAGTTTAGGTTATAAATGTGCACCACAGCATTTATTGTTTATTTTCTGTTTCACAAATTTTACACATATTTTGTTTATTTTTTGATGATGTTCTGAAAAATGAAACATTTCCAGATTTTAAAATATAACAGTAGCATTAGTTTTCAGTTTCAATACTATTTTAATTATCTATTGAGAATTGTAGTACCATTAGTCTAAATGGTGAGAAAAAAAAGTGTCTGATATTTGTCCTTATTCTGTGTTGTATTACAGAGTACCTTGAATGGAGAGATTTGCTACAACACCATCGACTTCAAGTATCCCACGAGACCAGACGTTGATATTCTCAAGGGACTCAATCTAACGATCAAACCAGGCCAGACTGTAGCCCTGGTAGGGGAGAGTGGGTGCGGTAAAAGTACTCTGGTATCACTTCTAGAGAGATTCTATGATCCTGAGCAAGGCTCAGTGGTAAGATATCAAAATGATTCTACTCTTAATGATGTATATGATTAGATTAGATTAGGATTAATCTAACCATCAAAGCAGGCCAAAGAACAATCCTTCTGGCAAAAATTGTGGGACTCGTTTACTGCCTGGCTTTCCAAGTTTTTAGCTGATGTCTGCTAGCTAGCTGTCTGATACTCAGTTGCATCTTATTTTACTTTGGGTAAAATCAGGTTCTACTGAACATCAATGTTGGCCCAAGGCTGAGTAAAAGTCCAATGATTCTGATTTATGTTTTGAATGAAATAGTAACCCAGAATTAAAAGCTGATGAGCATCCAACCACAAAATGTACAACTTTGTTCCTTATGAGAGTTTTTTTCTCTTGGGGATCCCAAGCATTGAAAGTTTGTTTTGTAATAATACCTGACATTCTTGTCCTCTTTATAATCTTATGCTCTTTTGTCCATGGAAATGTAACCAAGTCATATCAAGCCACATAATGCCACTTTCCCTACCCATTTTTTAAAATCATCCATAGTCTATAGACGGGAAGAGCATCACGGATCTGAACGTGCAGTGGCTCAGGGCTAACATATCAGTCGTCAGTCAAGAGCCTATTCTCTTTGCATGCTCCATCAAGGAAAATATTCAGTACAGCGTGGATGGGGAGATGGACATGGCGGACATTGAAAGGGTTGCCAAGATGGCCAACATTCATGACTTCATCTCTACTTTACCTACGGTGAGTCTGCGATTTCCTCTTTCTCTCTTTCTCCATTTTTTCTCTCCTTCTCCTCATCCTTCCCTGTCCTTCCTCCCTCGTCATCCCTTTTCCTCCCTCTTCCTCCCTTTCCTCCTTTTTGCTCCTCCTTTCTCCTTTCCTCTTCCTCCCCCTTCTTCCTCCCTTCTCCTTCTTCCTCCTTTATCCCCCTCCTTTCATAACTTCATCTCTAATTTACCTATGGTGAGTTTGGGATTCCTCTTTCTCCATTTTCTTTTCTCTTTCTCCTCCTCCATCCTACTTTCCTGTCCTTCCTCCCTCGTCATCCCTTTTCCTCTCTTTCCTCCTTTTTCAATCTTTCCCTTTCTTCTTCTTATTTCTCCTTCATTCTATTTTCTCCCCTTCTTCCTCCCTTCTTCTTCCTCCTCCTTTGTCCCCCTCCTCCTTTGTTCCCTCTTTCCTCCTCCTTTGTCCCCTCCCTCTTTCCCCCTCCTTCCTCTTCCATGCTCCTTCCTGTATGTAGTTAACAAGTTGCCATTTTCTTATTGAAAAGAGTAAAAATGAATTGCCACTGAAACTAACATGTATGAGACCATGAACAAACCACTTCATGAAAAGATTGATTACGGGAATCTTGTTTCCTATATTTCTAGGGTTATGACACATTGGTAGGAGAGAAAGGAGCTCAGCTGTCTGGAGGTCAGAAACAGAGAGTAGCCATCGCCAGAGCTCTGGCTAGGAATCCTCGTATCCTACTCCTGGATGAAGCTACCTCAGCACTTGATACAGAGAGCGAAAAGGTAAGTAAACTAGTACTCTTGTCTTACACATATACTGGCTTCTAGGAACCAATAGAGGGTCAATCCTGCAATCATACCTGCAATCAAACCTGCAATCAAATCTGCAATCAAACCTGCAATCAAATCTGCTATCACACCTGCAAATCAAACCTGCAATCAAACCTGCAATCAAACCTGCAATCAAATCTGCAAATCAAACCTGCAATCAAACCTGCAATCAAACCTTCAATCAAATCTGCAATCAAACCTGCAATCAAACCTGCAATCAAATCTGCTATCAAACCTGCAATTGATTCTGCTTTAGCGACCACCTGTAGAGATATAAAGTGAAGTATAAAACAACCTGCCTGTAAAGACCACCCTCCCATAAACAATTTGTTGTTTTCCCTGTGGCAGTCTTTCTATACAGATTTCATTGTATTTAAGGTTAGATTATACCCTGCCCTCCGGCGTGTCTCTCTGTGTTAATGTCTGTGTTGGAATTCCATACCTTTACCCATCATCCATTGACATTTTGAACGATTTAATCAACATTAAAGGTAAAGACCAGTTCTGGTCAAGCGATTGCATTGTGAAAGAAACGTTGTGGAATCGATCAGAAAAGGTTGATCATCTAGCATATAAGTATTGGTGTGTACTGCAAGGTTCTGGAATCATCAAAATTAAAAGAAATTTGGCCCAGTCTTGGGAAAATTAAAAGCACTGTACACAGAAAGATGTATATGGGACTACACAACACATAGGCCATATCTGTCCGGTCCGGGTAGATATAATACTTTGCCAAATATATCAATTGGTAGGCGGTTTCCCAGCAAAATTTGTATCATTATGGTTTAGTTAAAACACATCTTTCACATGAATGGTAATAAGAGCTTCCATTTCATTTTTTGAGATGGGGGCATTTCCAAAATTGGTTTTTTAATATGTTTTTTCAAAAGTTAAGTATTACCAACAAGTAAATAAGAACTTGTACTACATTTTACTCCTAACATGTACATCAACCAAACATTTAATTTCTTATGATGAATCACCTCTTCTTGCTCTGTTAGATTGTACAAGAGGCTTTGGACGCTGCCGTAGAAGGCCGGACATCCATCGTCATTGCCCATCGTCTCTCCACGATTCAGAACGCGGACATCATCGCAGTTATCAGAGACGGGGTCGTCGTCGAGAGCGGGAGTCATCAAGAACTCCTCAATAAGAAGGGTTATTATTATACCCTAACAGGAGGTCAGAGGTCATAGGTCATAGTGATAATTCTTGCCTCGATGAAGTACAATGTAAATAACAGATCTAGTTCAGAGATACTATCTGTATTTCGGCAGATAAAGGTCATTTAGAGGGTTCAGTGACACAAAGACGTAATTCCATTTTGGCCATTTTGAGAAAAAGTTGTTCATGTGTCACGGAGCGCTTGGGCCGGAGTTAAGTCTATGTTTCACTAGCCATTAACATCAATGGGTTTCCTGGAAAGCCCACATTTTTCTGAACATTTTGATATCAGATACTCATTTTGGCAAAATCTTGAGTTACGTCTTTCTATCGCTGAACCCTCGATTTGTACAACACTGAAACCCATTCAAGAGGAGTACTGGTTACGTGCTCACAAAAGTGATGTAATCACTGTTCATTTATGCACAGACAGCACAATCTGTGATGCATAGATGGGAAGTATGCTTTTTAAGAGGGCAAACAAAAGGTATCCATGAAGCAGCTCCACCACTTTAGGCAGTGATTATTCTTAAGTGCACAAAGTGGGAGTTCTCCATTTTTAAAAGATCTGTGGATATTTAGGGGTAATTTGTACATTTGCTCAGTCAGAAGTGTATTATGCGGCCAACGCTGTGCTCCAAGTATGATATAATGAAATACAATGTAATGATAATTTTGTTTACCCGGGGAACCCTCATCAGCATCTTCCAAAGGGCCCTGCAATCTGTATTACCCCTAGCACTTGCCAGGTACCCATTTACACCTGGATTGAGAGTGGCAAATGTGGATAAATGTCTCGCCAGAAGACGTTTCATAGTGCAGGGCTTTGATTTTAACCCTCACCCCTTGGATTGAGAATCAAGTAAATGAACCACTAAAACCACAACACCTCCACAATATCTGGGTGCTAGTAATAATAATTTTAATAATAATACTCAGTTTTTATATAACGCTTATTAGAATCACTAAGCGCTTCCAAACTTGGAGATTGTTTCCCCGGCTTTAGCTGTGCTGCCATAGTATGATTATGTACAACATAAATGCAAAGATTATAGATTCTGTAAATGTAAAAATTTTATGTCTATTATATACCTCAAAATATATCTTAATTTTTTATAAGTTTGTGCTTGAAATCAGTGAAGGATGAACGCTTGACTGGAAAAAATTGTGTTTTTCCTGATGGTTAATAATTTATTTGGCCCAAACGCTTGAAACATAAGCATTACATTGGCCATCCCCCCTTAGCCAAATATTGGGGGAATTTATCCCCCCCCCCTTTTTCTTTATACTGTATATTTGTGAGCAAAACTATGCTTAAAGTATAACGTTTAAATTGATATCCAGCCAGATCATGATGTAGAGCAGATATACACATATATATCCATGTTTTAGATTTGTAATATCTTTGACATTATATTCATATATGAAAATAAATTATTGTTGCACCAAAAAGTGAATGCAATTTCTGTATTCATGAATGATACACAAATCTACATTCTACTTTTGTTATTGTGTAATACAGGAAAAGAGATCTGTAACTTATTGTTTGAAAAGGTGTCAAACTCAAGATAACGATGTATATGTTTTTAAATCAACTGCTATTCTGTGACAATGTATCAAATATATTTCACACTATGAACTGTGCTTGAACTTTTATTTACGTGTGTACATTTGCCTTGTATATAAACTCATGAAATGATTGACACAGTGATTATTTTTCATTTTTTGTCTTTCATTATTAACTAGATTTATAATGTAGAGATAAGAAGACGGTAGGTCTAGAATAATGATGATTTTTATGATAGTTTTTATGATATATATATATGTTTCCAAGCAAATTTGTCATTCCATGGGTTTCAAAGACGGGTTTTTATCAGTGTTCAATAGACAGGCATTATGTGAAACATGTTAATACAATGAATGCAATATTATGTAACAATTTTATTTGGGGGTTGACTTGCTGGTGAAATGCCGTTGGTCTACAACCAGTTCATCTACTACTCAATTAGTCTACACCCAGCCCTTCCTTACCGGTACTATCCACATGGTCTAATAATTATTTTGTCTTCTTATCATTTGGTCTAATAATCATTTGGTCTAATTTCCATATGGTCAAACCATTTGTCTAATGCCCTTTTTGTCTACTATCTGTGAGGTCTATTTATCATTTCATGATTATCATTATTTATGATTAAATGATTATTACACCACATGGATAGAAGACAAAATGGGCATTAGACAAACTGGGAATTAGACTAAATGACAATTAGACCAAATGATCATTAGACCAATTGATTATTAGACCATGTGGATAGCATAGGCCTAAACAGACTGGGTGTAGACCATATGGGAATAGACTGATTGAGGTAGTAGACGAACTGAGTGTAGACCAAATGGCAATAAACTGTCTTGCTATATGTCCATGAAATATAGGATTGATTTTGCATCATGTATGCATGCAGCTAAAGAAATGAATCAGAAACTTGAATATCTCTTACCCCTCAGTATCAAAATAACACAATACTCATTTGTAGTGAACGGCATTATCAAGTGAGGAAGAGTTCTGAAAGCTATTAATATGTTCTTCAGTATTCATTTAGCATCACCAACTCATGATATATACTTTTTTGCCCTTGTGGCTATGCAACTTTCAAATATAATTATTATTATTTTACCAATAATATATTTCTATAGTGTTTTACTTCACATATATCAATTAGATTATTTTAATCCTTATTTTATGCCAGTATTTCAGTCATATATTATATATATATGTTTTGACCAATTAATAAATGATGATTCATTTTTTATTCAGCCAATTGCATTAAATGTGGATTCAATTGTCCAGGAAGGTGTTTTATTTAATGAGAACGCCTATTATCAATTTAGAAAGTATTTGTGTTTTCTCCATTTTAATATCGAACAGTCATTCTCAGTCAAACTGGGAGTACAATAAAAACTATTACTGATTTGTTTAGAGTTGGTGAAAATATGAAATGAAGAAGAAAAAAATCTTTGGATAAATCTTAATATGATTGGTGCATGCGGATCCTTTTTTTAGAAGGAGGCAAGGTGACCGAGAGATAAAGTATTTAGTTGTATAAAGAGTATTGAGCCAACAAGGAAAATAGGTAGGCCTATAAATACTTGTACTGTTAGCAAAATTATTGTACGGTACTACCTACTTTTGTATAATATTAAAATGGGATAAGAGCAGTGAATCGCGCAGAATAAGAAAGTGAACGTAACAATTAAAGTGATGTGTATTAAAAAAAGTATGGTACAGCCTATACTGGTACTTTAACTACTTTTAAATGATATTAAAATGGCATAAAAGCAGTGAAATGTGTGAAAACAAGAAAGTGAAAGTAATAATTAGAGTAATGTGTATTAAAAAAAAGAGGAAGGTGAAACAAAAATTATATGCCATCTGCGTTGGCCGGGAATCGAACCCGGATCAATTGCTTGGAAGGCAACTATGCTAACCATTATACCACCAACGCTTCGCACGACCATTGAGGGGCATTTACGTTAATGAAAATTAGATACGTATCGAAAATAAGTATCTTTACCCAAATAAAATTTTTGTTTACATTTCGATTCACCGAAGTAATTTCCCAAGGTTTTGATAATGTTTAGGACAATGACTCAACCCAGCTTACGAAAAATTGCCCGTAAAACGACGATTTCAGAACGTAAATTTATGTTCAGTCCCATACGCTGATTTTTGTGCTCTTAAAAAAAAAACACGTCGACGCCGACGGACCCACACATAGGTGCATTACTATCCTGGCTGTGTATTAAAAGCTGTGCTATTGATTCTCGACATTTCAAACGCCACTGTACAATACTCGGCTGATTTCACTCAAAATCGGTACTTTAGTGACAATTGATGACACCTAAATAGCAGTAAATTACAATTTTTTCAACTTTCCGGTGTTAAAAAGAATAATTAAAAAATTCAAATTGTGAGTCTACTGTCAAACTTGTCGATCAGCCGCATCGGTATTATTGTGTGCATTTATGTGTTGTGAGTATATCGACTATTCATGTAGCTAAATGCTGCCTATTAACACGTAGTGCACTGTTAAAGGTCAATACGCATTAGCATTGACTCTCTATGGTGCGACGGACCTAGTTATTATCTGAATGCACATTCGACCTAATCTGGCTCATTCGGCTCATATATTGGTCCGTTATCCCCCCCCCCCCCCAAAAAAAGAGAGCAAATTCCTTTGCTAACTTGCTCTCTCATTCCTTCGCTCACTATCTGCCAGTCCTTTGGCTTTTAATAGATTAGGTCTATATATTTGTAAAGCGCTTAGAGACATTTGTATTAAGCGCTATATAAAAATTAAATATTATTATTATTATTATTATTATTATATAATCTACATTTTTCCGCAGTCCACCAGTGCACCCAGCTCAGCTGAGGTAAATGGGCGTATCAAATGTACCTATTTGCCATCACTCTGTCCACGTCCCCCCCCCCCCCTTTTTTTTCCTCTCTCTCTCTCTCCGAATCTGACTCTGCTCCCAAATCTTTATGTCAACAAATTACTTTCCTCCTCGCATCTACTACATGATTATTTTCTGGCTTACTTTTATTGCAGCTCTTACACTGGTAAATATATGCCTACACTCACAAGATATCGTATAGGATGTCAAGTTTGTTTTAAATGTTTCAAAAGGTGCTGGGGAGGGGGGAGGGGGGCAAAAAAAGGAACCAGGAAAAAGATTTTTCAAATTAAGTTACGTACAGTCAAAATTTATGTTAAGAGATACTGTAGTCCACTAATTTGGAACAGACCATTAAATACACTGTATTTGAATTTACTTTAAGTACATATCCAATATTCTAGGCCTATTAAGCCCGGGCTGCATGGTTTCAAAATCAATTAGCTCAACTCTTATCTTTCTTTTCCTCGAGCTTTAGACAAGAAATTAACACTATACAGGCTATATGCATGGAGTTTCAGTCAATATTGACTTGTATTTATTTTCTTTAAGAAAAAGATTCAAAATACTGATAAAATGAGTTACAAGATATATCAACAAAATTAATTAGCTTTTTACCAGAAAAAGGGGTAGATTATAGCCTCGATTACGTCAGTATCCAACACCATAATTCATCTCCAGAATGAATATGTATCCATGGTGGTAAAGGCCTGAACCAAACATTATGAAATTAACATACCAGCCAATTTAATTTCAATATGATATGCATATGCAGGTGATGTATACAAATCTGAAAAATTGAAAATAATTTCAACAGCTCAATTAATAATTATTGAAAAATGAAATCTGATGATATTATTCACCTTCAAACATTTATTTTTCTCTTTTCTTCGCACTTTAATATCTTTTTAATGATATATTGATACAATGGTGCATTGTATAATCGCACAATAACATATTAACATGTCAGTGGAAATGGCACATAATCCACATTCATCAAAGAAACATGTACGAATAATACTGCTAAAACAATTATTTACAATCATCTCTAATTCTTGCACCAGTGCAGTGAGTTAATGCTTTAGTCACTGTGTAAAATACCATGTTAAAAAAATAACCCTAGCACCCCTAAAATAATGAGACATATAATGGGAGTACGATTTATAGTGGTTTAACACGACAAATCAATTCTGTACTAAAACATAAAACCATTCTGAAGTCTGATGAATAGTCAGGTGGGTAAAAACACAAAGAATAGAAAGTTCAATTTAGCCTTTGAGCAAATTGTAAGGTACTAAGAAACCATTAAAGAACATATAGGGAGAATTTCCCTGATATATGCCTGAAAAATGGTTCATGTGCTTGATGAAAAATACAAGGTAACAAATTTGCTGCTTGTGACTTGATAAAGCACATTACCCCAACATTAAAAAAAGAAGAAGTGCTTGAATAATTAAAACAAAAGTTGATATGATAAATCTTCCATCTCCATTCATTTGTACATAAGACTACACACAATAATCTTCCTTGACATAAAACAAATAAGAGAATTATTCTCATTATTGGTGGTATTTGAATACAGTGGCTATTCAATGATATTTAAGAAAAAATATAATTAACATAAGAAATTCCTCAAGAATTAAAATCAGTGAAGTATATGCAAGCTAGATTTCTCCATGTTATAAGTAAGATATTTCATTAGCAAACTCTATGTTCACAATTCACATTAGTAGAAATAAATATACAAAATAGTTCAGTACATGGCAAAAAAATACCAACAAATAAATGTAAGTCCTTTTAAAAGGTATAATGCAAAATACAGTGGACTTATTCAAATAATTTTAAGGAAAGCAAGGACATATCAAAACATTCCAGAGGGTTGGTTTATGGATGGATAGATTGAATGAGTGAGTGATTTTATTCACCAACAACAATAATAACATAAATCAAATATGTTTTTACAATACATAAAGTAATGTTACAGAAATGAAACAAATTATAGTAGGTTGAAAACAAAGATACATTGAATAATTAAAACAAAATATTCCTATTCCAAACGGTAATGTATGTACATTCATCTATATACAATGTGTGTTTCAAAGACAGTTTGGACAACATAAAACGTATAGAGCTTTTAAGCATGGCAACAGCTGAAAAGAACTATAATTAACACTGGTTTTTAGTTTCCCTGTACTATGTAGATTTCAATTCTTGTCAAAACCCTTGAAGGATACTTAAGACATGTACACAAGAACTATTTGAAAACTAAAACATAAAAATGAAAAAGCATGAAAATGTGAATTTATATTAATACATGTATTCTAATCCACTAGTTGCATCATACTAGTCCAGAATCTGGCTGATTTAATTTTAACGATGTCCTCCAGCGCTATGCAATCTCCCCCTACTAACTCGCTGCTGAACGAAGATGGTATGATCCCCGAATTAAGACGCCCAGCGAGTACGAGTTTGTTGATAACGCCATCTTCGGCGGCATTCACCTCATACGATACTTTTGATTTTCATGTATAAGACATCTGAAGTTCATTTTATGCACCACATCCACTTTTCATACCAGGGTAAACATCTTTCATTCACCTACTGCAAACATATGCATTAAAACATTTGATAAATAAATATACTGCCAAAAAGAAAACATTGTGTGAAAATTTACAAACATACATGTATGTGACTGACGACAAGGAGCACAATAAATAATCAATCAATTTATCACTCTTTATCACTCTCTATTGGCATACTAAACCAGAGTGGGTATTTTTAGTGAGAAAAAAGAAAAATCACAATTTTACTCAACAATCTTGATTATTCAATCAATGTATTGATTTAAATCACTGACTTTCTCAAATAAATAAAGATTCAAAATCAGAGATAATTTGTTTGATTTTGTTTTTTGCGAACTTAATAACCCAACTAGTCCCAATGCATTGCATTGGGACAACCTTATTTCAACATGGCAAGTGTTTGCAGCGTCACAGTCTACTTTACAGGTTCGAACCATGCATTCATCCTGATGAATAGAGATCATTCACACAATGAAATATGAGCATCCAAGCCCAGTAAAAGGGAACAAGAAGAGCAGTTAAGTAGGATAAGTCTTTTGCTTTCACATTAAGCACAGTAATTCTTTCATGCTTATATACATTTTGGTTATATTTTACATGGCAGGTTTGAGGCTCTTTGGAAACGTTAAATACCACTGGCTACCTATATCTTGGCTTCCACAAGTCATTTTTTACACCGCCCTTGGTCTTGGAACCCTAGACCAAGGCCCTGTTTCATAAAATGACAAATGCTAAATTTATATGACAAATTCGATCTAAGCCAATCAAATGCCATAATTTCAGTAACTTATAACAGTTATAGTAACCTGCTATTGATCACAAGTTTTATGAAACGGGGCCCAGGATGAAATCTACTGAGTATATTTCCTTTGCATTAGACCAAGACCAAGACCAAGACCCAGGTTTCAAACCCCTAGAGCCAGAGACTGATCTCCAGCTACAGTCAAACCTGCTTTAGTGACCACCTGTCTACAAAGGCCACATTTGGTGTTTCCCTTGAAAATGGATTCTCATTGAATCGTGTACTAAAGGAACCTTCATACAAAGGCCACTTTTTATGTTTCCCTTGGGCAGTCGCTATAGACAGGTTTGACTGTATTAGGTCAAAGTGCTCCTATTTCAGAAGTGTGAATGTGGCTCCTGCTTATTAAACACATCGGTTCAGATTCTAAACCCCCAAGCTACCGACTGTGAGAAATGCAAAGCTGCATCAATTGTATTTCAGATCCTCTGGACAGACAGTATCTGTCCTACAGCAATGGCGGTCATCAGTGCGGTCATCAGTCGTTGGACAAGCTCATCTCCTCTTCAGAGACCTGGTAAATGACATTTTCAGAAAGAAGGTATAAGAATCATGATTAATAATAATAATAATAATATTAACATATCTATATCTTTACATGTAGATTTAAAAAGCAATTGTAAATGCATAACAAACCAACAACAACAATGCACATTTAACACATAGTTTTTCCTTGAGGATACAAGAGAAACACTCTCTAAAATGATAACACATTCACATTCACACATACAGATAAATCAAGTATTTAAAAAAGAAAATCTTTTGAATATAAAACAGAGAAGGTAAAGTGAGACCTGGATATAAAGACCGCTCTAGCGAGACAAGAAAATCGGTCTCTATTGCTAGGGCGTCTTAATGTAGGGTACCTTTAGAAAGCTTATCAATGAAAATATTGTTCACTGGGGCCAAAAAGGTGATTTGATAGAGATGGTTGTTATAGCAGGTTCAACTATAATTAAGGTTACTCTACATCGCCTTTCCTTTTTCATTCCCGAAATTCCCCAAACATGCTGGCTTCTAATCATGGCAATCGTTTGATCAATGCCTATTGAACAAACTCCCTGCATTTCTACTTAATTGTATTTAACTTGACTTATTCAAAAACCATCTGAAAACATAATCATCTACAATTTTTCTTAATTTATTCATATACTAAGGGGCAGTGCACTGTATCCTTCAGAAAAGAAGCTATATAAATCCAATTATTATCATGTTCATAATCATTTAAATGAATGGGGCGTCGGTTTCAAAGTGTAGAAGGCAAGTATTTGCTGACACCAGACGTGGTGGAAATACCATTAATGGGTGTACAAGTCTGCAAAAAGCAAACCTGTAGGCCCATCAAGAAATACGTCCTAGTCTCTCTGAGAGCCTTCGGATGCGGGAAAGTCAAAGTATGGTCATAAAACTGAATGGTAATCCTGGTGATTGACAACACCTGTTATTTGATGAACACACAAACAGTGTCAAATTCTCTATTTCTTCTATGTCTCTTTAAAAGAACGAACACTCTACCTTCAGTCTCTTGGTGGCTATGCACTCATCTTCGATATCTCCTACTCGGCAGTCTCCCTTGGAGTTCCCACACCTCTCCAGCATACGCTCGATGATCTCGAACAGGACGTTGCCTTTGACGTAGTCGTTGTCGACGAGGTTCACCAGGAAGTAGGTGTCGTGGATGAACTGGATGACGTGCCAGGAGGGGGAGCCTTCCTTGTAGAGGGTCCTCCATGATTCTAACCACAAGCCGAATGCTTCGTCCTACAAGAAGTCACAAGGGAGGGGGATAATTCAGACTTTAAATAATATATAAATAATACACAGCAGTGAGGGCATTAGTAAGAATTACCCACACAAGGTAGCGAGTGTGGGTAATTTTACTAATGCCCGAACAAAATGATGTGTATTATAAGACGATCTTTTATTTGTTTTATAAAATGATCTTGCTAATGACCGGTCATTAGCAAAATTAAGTGTTAGGCAAAATAAATGCCTGGTCATGTGTATGCTCTCAACCAATCACTTGATTAGGATCCGCTTCATCATCTTATAAATAGCAAATATATTGAATTTATCAAATACATGTTATTGTAGCTGATTACTCTGCATTAGTTTCTTTCCTGTATCAATATCCAGCAGAATTGCACCGATTCAACTCATACTGTCAAGGAGGAGGGCCCTAGAAGAATTTTACCACGTATTTGCAACTGCCACATCAATTTTTCACATTTTTCCTTTCAAGTCTTGATCATCTTTTAACACTAAATGCACAAAAACTGATGTACCATTTGCCAGTTGGTACAGTATATTCTCTTGTGACCTCATGTACATGGAAGCTTGATAATTGAGAATTCTGTGATTTTGTGTATGAAATTAACAAAAACCTGTAGTAAAATAGGTATATATCTTTTGTAAATCACTTGCATTTTCTTTTTCAAGCTTTAATCTGAATATTGATGTAGATAAAAACTATGAGAAGGAACGCTTAATATGATAGTACACTGACCTTCCATGACATGAAGCTGATCGGGTCAACGACGGTGGGTTGTTTGACCTCTGCACCAGGGAATACTCCCCAGGTCACAGCGTTCGGCTTGAGACGGTCAGTATTCGTTATGGTCTCAGTGCCCTGTACAGAAAGCGAATATAACATGTAGATGTACAAAGCACATATTTGTAATCACAAAATGAATATATTAAAGTTAAATTTATGAAACAATCTACACTGAATGTAATGTTTTCCTAAAGTATACTTCAATTTACATGTAGTTTACAAGTCATTATTCCCTGGTCATAATTTCTTCCCATGTACCATTACCATGAACGTGCCTCAAAAGTCATCCTCATCGAAAATACTACTGAAATATGATTTGCACCATACAAGTTTTACTGTTTTAGACACAGGTCATTCCAAGGGCATGGGTACATATCCCACCGCTGTCACCATGCCAATGCACTTAAGAAAGCCAGTCACATAATCAAAAGACTTGATAAATAATTAATGCTTTATTGCTTGGTTCAACATACATGTATGCTAATGTGACAGTTGCTCCACAGTCAATGTTCTACACTACCGGTAATCAAATTTCTGATCTTCACCTCTGGACCCGACGCAATACCTAACACTAACCCTAAAACTGAAATTAAGAGCCAACTGCAAGCCAACTATACAAGTATCTTTGACAATAAAAAAAGCCCGGAGAAATAGTCGCTAGAGCAAATGTCGGATCACCCTTTACTTGGCTGCCACGGTTGCGTCTCAAAGAGGACGATGTACTATACTGCCCATAGAGGGCAAACTTCAATTTACATTTACATGATTTGTAAACAATGGGAGTCGTTTAGGTTTAGCCCTTGCATGAGCAATTACCATACAAACCTTAGCATTGACGACATGGTAGTTGACTAGCGGGTAGTCCTGGAGTATATGCAGCAAGGCAGCAACGTTCTCGCGTGAGCAAAAGAATTCAAGATACGCCTGTGGAAATGAAGAAGACAAAAATTAGGATTAGAGGGGGAAATGAGAAAACTAAATATGTTAGAAGCACAGGATTCTATCTATTGGGCAAATGTTAATTGAGGAATGTTAATTGTTGTGCTTCGGAGACCTAAACATTGCACATTATTTCCCTACATCAATTATCCCTAAACTATCTCATAATCACTGGGAATCTCAATGAGGATGTACCCTATTATTGCAACACTTTGTTTCTTTTGGAGGGATTAATGAAGCAGCATGCTATCCATGTCAAAAAATTGTATTTATTATTATTGCATTGCATTAATTGTTGATAACACAGAGTCAACATTGGCTAATTATCTTTAGGGAAATATGCAAGATTTTAGCACTCATTACTACAATTGTGCTGCTCGTGGGTAACTTTCACAATCTTATTTGTTTAAAAGAACAGCATGTTAAACCAAAACGTAGAGGCTATTTTATCACAGGCATTGCTGTCATCAGAAAGCTAGATGAAATCCCCCCGTGAAATTTTTGTAGGAAAGGCGCAAGTGATGGGGCATAATTGCAAACATAAAGAGGGCAACATAATTGAATAAATTCTTTGGCCTGATGTATGGGTAACACAGATGGAGAAAAAAATTATTCCATGTTCCCAAAATAAACTGATAATCCTTCGTTCATGGACACAAAAAATGAAATACCAGAGAGAACATGAAAGACAGTAATATATATGGAGAAAGAGATACCAGTAACGGCTTGGGGGGAAAATGGAGATAGAAACAGTTTGGGAAAGTAAGACTGACTAAGAAATCTGAAAGAGAAAGGATGTAGCAGTAGTAGTGGTGGTTATTTTACCTGACTGCTAAGAAAGCATAAATGCTTGTTAGTAAGCAACTAAGAACACCAGGCAATTCCAGGCAATTTAATCAATACCTACTGATTTAAGAAGGCGAAATAAAGATTCAAACTTCCTGATTAACTTTTTCCATTTCTTTCAAAAATTAGCAGCCACTCCTTTTTCCGTAAAATGAAGAAACACAGGAGGTAGAAATGGTTTGACAATATGGCAAATAAAAAGGATGATTGGACACTTTCTTTGGTGAATTTTACTCCAGGATTTATTTCTGCAATTATTTATTAGGGTTAGGGCTGTCTTTGTGTTATATGATAGGTTTAGCGTTGGGGTTAGGGTCTCCATTAGGTTTGAAGTTAATTGGGCATAACAGTTAGGGTCTTGATCATCTAAAATTTAAGTCAAGTGTTAGGTTCAGGGTCTTAATTAGGTGTATGTTATGATTAAGTGTTAGGCTCTCAATTAGGTTTAAAGTAAGGTTAAGCATTAGGGTTAGGTTTAGGTTTAGGTTCTGAATTATGTCCAAGTCAAGGTTTGAGGCTAGGTTAAGGGTCTTCCTTCGGTTAAAGGTAAGGTTTGGGGTTAGGGTTGAGTTATTAATAAGGTTTAAATTAAGGTTAAAAGTTAGGGTTTGGGTAAGGCTTGGGGTTAGGTGAACTGTTTGATCCCAGAATGAAGTGAGGACTTTAGTTAGAATAGGAAACGGCCATGGGGTAACTGTCGCAAAAGTATGTGATGGTAAAAAAAAAAGTATGGCAATATGACAAGGTTAACTGCAAGAGGCAGAGCATACAATGATGAGTAGCATATAAGTATACCGTAGTCCTACCGTACTGCTACTTTACCATACACCACCGAAACACAGTACCTGTCAGGCCAGTTAAAAAGAGCCTCAGTCAACAGGCTTATGTTACCTTTTGGTAGACATAACCGTTAGGTGCCCCCCATCCTACCACCGGGTCGGAGGACGGTTCGCCGTTGACGTTGGGCTGGGAGTTGATAGTGAGGACGCCGCGCTTGTTCATGGACACCAACTGGGAGGACACCCGCATCGTCTCAGAGGACACCTCATCATCGTTCCACGGGAAGCGTGTGACCTGCGTGGACGGTAGAATGATACACTGGCTTAAAGTACAAGTCCACTCCAAAAATAACTTACTTTCAATAGAAGCGGAAAAATCAGTCAAACCAATCAAAAATAGTTTGAGCAAAATCGGATAACTAATAAGACTTGCCCTTTAATAAACAGTTTTGATTTGTTTTGCTAAAATGGTACAAAGAGTAGTAATGATTTATTGTAAGAAGTTAGCCATCTTGTTGTCAATAAGACCCAAATGACAATTCTAAATATTTGAAATGGTGAATTCTTAGATCACCCAAGATACCAGTATAAAACCACCTTTCAGCATTCAAACTAAGCAGTATATCCTTTTGGTCCAAGACTAGGCTGTCCTTAAATTAAGCAATTTTCAAATCTAAATGTTGACATATGACATGTCAGAGGTCAATGCTCATTTTGGCTGAGGATTCCTAAATCCTGTAGAATTTCTTAGCTAAGCTTTCCTCAGTCCTAATCATCAGTCAGATATCAAGTTTAAAGGCCATCTGTACTAGTTTATAGGAGGGATTAGACCACCCTGTAAGGTCACTGGACAGGTGGTTATCTCATCAACTTAGTTCTCAATTAACATAAGAAAAAGAGGGGGACCAACGGTCACCGATTAGGCATTATTTTCTATATAGAGGGAGCAAGTAGCTAAAAGTAGTACAGTGGGGCTTTAATCTACTTACTTTGTTGCCATATCTGTTGGGTTCTCCCGACAGGTAACAGGTGAAGATCTCGCTGACGTCCTCCACGCAGGTGATCTCCTCACCCCACATGGTCTGTAACTGTTTCTGGTTGGACTTGCTAGCCAGGTAGAAGAGATGGTAGTCCTTCAGCTCACCAAAGGCAGGGGATGAGGAATCGCCCCAGCGGCCGTTGGGGAACTCGTCCCACTCCTGCGTCCTGTAGACGTAGCTCTTGGGCCTGGAGGCCCAGAAGATTGGACGGACGTCCTCCTGCTTTCGCTTGAGGTTGGCGGTGGTCTTCCAGGGGAGCGGTCTCTTGGGCTCGCCGCACCATAATCCCAGAGACGACAGGATCTCAATGGTCGCCACTTCTCGGTTGAGGGTGTAGATATGAATTCCAAACACTTCCCCACTGAAACCAAAAACAACAAGGTGTGACTTTACTTGAATCAAAGATCATGCTACAAGGTGGGTTAAGAGCACATTCAGAATGACCCTACTCAAATTAAGCTGATTTAAGGCAACAATGAATGTTGTATGCATCACATTCATATTTTGATAATCCGGACTTATTGGCTTTGTGATAGATTGTGAGAGATTTTTTTTTTAAGATAGAGAGAGAGAGAAATAGAGACAGACAGACATACATTTACAGACAGAGATAGACAGATGGTAAGAGATACACAGAGGGAAATGACGTAAAGACCTGAAAGGGGCCATGTGCAGGATACAAGTTGACAAAGAGCTACAAGACATGGAGAAATAATGCCTCTGCTACCATCTTTGCTGAGCTGAGGAATGAAAAATTCTAACCATTACCAAGCAGATATTTTGCTCGTCACTGTCTTACATGTATGTCAATACAGGGCCCCGTTGCATAAAACTTACCATTGATGGTAACTTTGCCATCAGTGGTAACTACAATGGAAACCTCGATTTGATTGGCTGTTGAGCCCTGTTACCATGGTAGTTGCCATTGAAGGCAAAGTTACCATAAATGGTAAGTTTTATGCAACAGGGCACAGATGTTCATACCTAGTGCCTGCAGACTTCACTGATCTAACCTCTCACCTTTCAAATAATTCTTTGCACATAGTGACGGCCTGGTGGACGCCGTAGTTCCTGATGGCCGCATCATTCTCTTTGATAGGTTCGATCACATCCATGATCTCCTGTGGAACGTCTAGCTTGGACAGCTTTACGAGACTCCTTAGAGAATGATAACCCTGGAAGCGGAGAAAAGTCAGACATCAAAGAATCAGATTCAATGCGACATGAATATTATTCGGCACCTTTACTTTCTAAGTTAAGGATACTTTGTCCCTTTTGCAGCCAACATCAAATTCTATACAACTTTGCAGGAATTTTAAGTCGATTTGGCAACTAATGGTCGTTATTTTCCAACAAAAAGCCATTTTAAGCCCTTTCGTTTTGAAGGAAGTTCTAAATAAGTATTGCCTTTCAAATGCTGTTGGAATTTAATCTCCTCATTTTTTTGCCTGTAAATGGGACATAGTACCTTTAAAGGGCACAAGTGGGATCATGTAATATCAATACCTCGGTAAAAGATTGAATCCCATCATTTAGAAAACTTTAAGCTTCTTTTTTCTTTCAGGTTGTTCTTTTAGGGTTAAAAGGGAAAGTTAATAGAATTCCAGAGACTGATCTATCTCACCTGTATTGGCATGACCCCAGGAATGATGGGCACGGTGATTCCGATCGCCCGACAGTCTCTGACAAATTTGAGGAATGTCTTGGCTTCAAAGAAGAGTTGTGTGATGATGAAGTCTGCTCCTGCATCCACTTTCTCTTTCAGGCACTTGAGATCATCCTCGTAGCTAACGGCATCGGGGTGACCAGATGGGTAGCCTGTCAAAGAAATATGTCAAACCTCAGTTAAAGGGATAGTTTAACAATGTTTGCAGTTTTACAAATCAGAGAAGCATGGCCCTTTGTGTCATCAGTGTCTGTGATATGGCGTAATACTGAATCCCTAACAAAATTTGCGCTTCAAAATGATCATGAAGTGCCTCAAAAAAGTAAAAATCTTTGAGTGACCAGTTTTACCATATTCATTTTCCCCAATAGACTGTAGTGTTAAAAATACCATTGGGAAAAATGGTTTTTGAAATCTTGAGTTCCAATCATAAATATCTTGATAATCAGACAGGCGATCGGCTTGTAAAAGTAATTGGATTCCTGACTGACCTAAAGGATTATAATTATAATTACAGCATGAGCAAAATCCAGGATTTTGTTTAGAATCTGAGGCAAAGATACCCATTTCCCAATCCATTTAAAGATATACAATTACTACACTCTCCTGTTCTGTGAAATTATCAATCAATGTACTCTACTGAATCCTGCAAGCAGTGAAACACATTGCCCTACCTGAAATTGCTTGGAATCATTCAGATTCAGAATTAATGATTTCTTTTTTTTTAGGTTTTTATTTAAGTGGGTCATCTTTGCAGGGCATTACTTGAGACCTGTCTGTTGTAAAATAGATGTCTACGCTCTTGTGCCTGTTATTGTTATTGGGTAAATAACTGAATGGTAGAAAATTCCCAATTAGAACCCGTGAGATTGTGCGGCCTCAAAGATCATTGGCTGCAGTAACTTCTATAACATAGATTTCAAGAAGATGAGCTGCAGAAAGTTGCTGAATGCATTTGTACAATAACACTGCTCACACAAGGTGGGGATCACATCACACGTGCACCATCCAAAATTTCACATTCATGCAGAAAAAAATTGGCATTTTCAACTCACCTGCTACCGCGATGACAAAATCATCCCCAAAGACTTTTCGTATATGTTTGACAAGATCAGTAGCATAGTTAAACCCTCCAGGAGTAGGTTCCCATTCATCTGTATGACCGGGAACATCTATCAACGTATAGAAAAGAGATGCCTCATTATAAATAAATTTTAAGAAAATGGCAATATAAACATACATAATTCGATATTATTTAATGAAAAAGGTTGTTTTCTTAAAGCACCATCGAACACCTTTTTATACTTCAGTAACAACACCAGACTAACTATAAACCTGACTGCTTCTGGGGCATTAGGGGTGATGTATCATTTTTGTCTGTATGTTGATTAGGCCATGTAAAATTGATTTCATGTTGATCGTCCCCGCCCGCTTCCTTTTTGGGGGCCGCCTCCTATTTTTTGTTATTTGTTATTTTTTTTTTTTTTATTTATTTTTTTTTTTTTTTTGATTTTTTTTTTTTTTTGAAAGAAAAAAAACATGAAAAACACTGCTAAAATGGCTCTATTTCTGATTTAAAAAAAAAAAAATTGTCGGCGGCCATCTTGAAAAAAAATAGCCTCGACTGTCGGGGAAAATGTACCGAGCGGCCATTTTGAGCGGCCATTTTGAAATATCAAATATCAAATAACATGGTACACCCTCCTCCTCTTTTTCAAAAAATCCGGACGATCAACATGTAATCAATTTTACATGGCCTTAGTCTAGTCAGTGTGACTTGGGTATTACTTATACCATAGAGCAAAACAATTATATGACCACTTTCTCAATCATACGAGAAATACATACGCAGTACTCGGCATACAACGACTGCTAAAGGAAACCAATGAGAAATATTTTTTCTAGACAGGTGTCTGAATAATGCGTTTCCATTAAATAAGGCCACCATGGGCTTTTCTTTTGTTTTCCCATTTCATTTGAACTTATTGTATAAACTGAACATTCTCTGCCTAGAATGTATATATACATGTACTTGTTTATTTCCTTTTGCTGTATTTTTCATGAAAATGAATAGAATAAACAAATTGAATAATGCATTCCAATAAGGAAACACTGGCAAATTGTCACTACTTCTATTATTTCACAGATAATGGGTCTTTCTGTTTCATTTCTCGCTGCTCCTTTATCATTATTCTCCCCCCCCCCCCCCTCTTCCCCAAAAGAAGTACACATCCCTACCTCCACGCAGGGCCAAGATATTACGGATGCCACACTCCTTGGCCCACTCTAGATGCCTCGTGATAACCTCTGCCGACTGACTGACGCAGCACATGTGAAGCATGGTGTCAAGGCCGCAGTAGTTGAGCATGGTCCGGGCTATCTCCATGGAGCTGGTCTCCTTGCGTCCTCCAGGGTTGCCTGCAGAGTGCCAGGTGATATCGCAGAAGAGCGGGCCTCCGTGGAACATACGGTCAAATCTGTGGATGTGGATAAGAGAGTGTAAGAAAGAGGCATTCAGGAAATACAGTCAGACCTGCTTTACTGGCGTGGCCACCTCTCCATAAAGGCCACCTGTCTACGGTGGCCACACATTTTGTCTCCAGAGAGAGAGAGAGAGAGAGAGAAAGAGAGATGTGTGTTGTAGAACTTGTCGATGAATAAAGGCTACGTGTCTACAGTGGTCACTTTCTCTGTTTTACTTGGGTGGCCTTTAAAGGCAGTTTGGACAGTGGGTGGGAGAGAGGAAAAGAGATGAAATGTACATGCATGAAATTTGTAGATAGATGTACTGTAGATAGCACGGGGGAGGTGGGGGTAGGAGGGTTTTAATAGAAAGGAACATGAGTAAGGCATCATGATGGAACAAAATTGTTGAAAATGAAGAAGAAAAGAGGGAGAAAAAATACACACAACATACAAAGGCACAACAAAAAAAGTGAATAAAGAATCAAACGAAAAATACACAATACAGCCCTGACCAAATACATGTGAGACAGAGAGAGCAAGGGGGGGGGGGGGGGGGGGTCACACTAAGACCCCGTTCTCACTCACTTCGTTGGAGCGCTCTGGAGCACTCTAACTAAGACCCGCTCCTCAGGAGCGGTTCTTAGGTGAGTGAGAACGCTCAAAGTGGTCCAGGAAGCGGACTTCTGGACCGCTCCAGAAGTCCACCTTCCGAGGTGGTCTTGAGGAGCGGGTCTTATTAAGAGCGCTCCAGAGCGCTCTAACGTGCAATGTGAACGGAAAGCGTACTTTGAACGGAAGTGAGCTAGTGACCTTCGGTGCGAAACATGTAGTACAGTACATACGGATTGTATTCCGCACGCGAAAAAATTGACCCGCCTACCTGAGCTGCCATAGCAACAAGACCACTTTGACTCGTGGAGCGGTTTGAGCCATAAAAACTGCTCGGAGTGTGTACGCTCGCAAACCGTTCCTCAAGACCCGTTCCTCTGGAGCGGTCTGGAGCGGTCTAACTAAGAACACTTTCAAAGTGAGTGAGAACGGGGTCTAACTCAAAGGAAAAGAGAGAAGAGAGAAACTGGATGGTTGGGAGACCACATGAAGATGTAAAAATAAATGTAGCGAAGCTGGAAAATGCATGCATATGGACCTGTTCACAAGACATGAACAAGGCAATAACATACATCACATTTTGTTTGACCTTGGTATTCTTTAGCATTCAGTACATGTCAAATTAGGGACATCCACCCGGATATTTAGTTATTTTAAACAGAAGCAGAAAAATAAGAGGTTAGTGAAAGTTTGATAACACAGTAATGAATGTTTGATAGTGCAATCAACCAAACGCTAGTTGGCAACTATATATATATGTAAGTGACGTATATTGTGAGGTCCCCTCCCATTTAAAAAAATGCATATTTTGCCATAAGAAAATTGCCATTGTCAATCATACATTCCCCCTAAATATAAACGTTGCAAATATGCTTTTATACAACCTCTGCATGAAATAAGTCTATTTGGTCATTAATAACTAAGAAAATGATAGTTTATGAAATTTGATGTACAGAGCAAGTTGGAGAGGAGCTCGCTATACTTGCTACCGTGTTGCCAATTTGTGTTTCAGTGATGACAACTTCAAAAATTCTCTCCTTTTGTATTTCCTATTTGAATTAGATAACTTTCACTAATTTGTTTCTCCCATTTTCTGCTTTTATCAAAACCAACTTCATATCAGGGTGGATTTCCCCTTCGAGAGAACAATAACCCAGATCCAAATGACCTATTAGGACCTTTATGTTTTCTTCTCTTCTATCTTTCCATTATCTATTCTTAGGCTCATCTATTCTTTATCATTTCTCTTTCTGTCGTTCCTTATGTTATTCTTTTCTCTTCTTCTTTCATCTTTTATGTTATTGTTGGTTGTTATCACTCTTTGTCTTTCTATCTTTCCTCATATTATTCTTTGTTTCTTCCTTCGATCAGCTCTTCTTATGTAATTCTTTGTTTTTATTCTTATATCATTGTCTTCCTACCATTCCTTATATTATGTTTTGTTCTTCCATCTTTCATTTTCTCTTCTATCTTTCTATTATCTATTCATTATCATTTTCTCAATCTGTCTTTCCTTATGTTATTCTTTTTTCTTCTTCTATAATCTCTTATGTTATTGTTTGTTGTACTTGTTATCATTCTATTATTTCCTCTTCCTATCTTTCCTTTGGCTATCCTAATTGTTTCTTCCTTCTATCACCTACCCTTTCTGTCTTTCTTTATGTTATTCTGTTTCTTCCTTTTATCACGTTTTAGGTAATTCTTAGTTTTTATTCTTCTATCATTTTCTTTATACCATTCCTTGTGTTATTCTTTGTTTTTTCCATCTTTCATCTTCTCTTCTATCTTTCCATTATCTATTTATATATTTTCTCTTTCTGTCTTTCCTTATGTTATTCTCAGTTCTTCCTTCTATCAACCTCTTTAATGTTATTCTTTGTTTTTATTATTCTATTATTTCCTCTTCCTATCTTTCCTTTTGCTATCCTGTTTCTTCCTTCTATTGCCTACTCTTTCTGTCTTTCCTTATGTTATTCTTTGTGTTTCCATCTTTCATCTTCTCTGTTATCTTTCCATTATCTATTCTCGATCATTTTCTCTTTTTGTCTTTCCTAATGTTATTCTTTGTTCTTCTTTTATCATCACTTATGTTGTTTGTTGTTATCATTCTTTTATGTTTCTTTCTATCTTTTTTATGTTATTCTTTGTTTCTTACTTCTATCACCTTTTCTCATGTAATAGTTCATTGTTTTTATTATCTTTCATCTTCTCTTCTCTTTCCATTATCTATTTTTGTATATCCCAATATTATTCTTTGTTACTTCTTTCTATCACCTTCTCTTTTGTTATTCTTAGTTTTTATTATTCTATTATTTCCTCTTCCTATCTATCTTTCCTTATGCTATCCTTTGTTTCTTCCTCCTATCACATTCTCTTTCTGTCTTTCCTTATGTTATTCTTTGTTTCTTCCTTCTATCACCTTCTTTTATGTTATTCTTTGTTTTTCCTCTTCCTATCTTTCCTCACGATTCGTAATTACTATTTATGACATCCCTTGTTTCTTCCTTTTATCACCTTCTCTTTCCTCACCTTCTCTTTCCTCATGTTATTCTTTGTTTTTTCCTTCTATCACCTTCTCTTTCTGACTTTCCTTATGTTATTCTCTATTTCTTCTTTCCATCACTTTCTCTTCTGTTATTCTTTGTTTTTATCATTCTATACATTTGCAATTCTCTGTCTGCCTTTCCTTATGTTATTCTTGATTTATGCTGCAATATAGATAGCAAGATGACGTCATTTTGACGACAGGTTCTAGTTTTCTGACGAACTTCAAATTGTGGATGAAAGAGTTCTTAAATTTGGCCAGACGACGTGAGATGACCCGACACACGCAAATTGCAGAAATGACGTCACATAGTCGACCTTGTCTATATGGACGTGGCAAACGGAAAGGCCCTACTTTTTGTAAGAGATAAGCATAGCACACAGTGTTTGTTTTCCTAGTTACCTCCAAGACATTGCCCTCAACTGAACTGATAATGAGGTCACCTTGACAATGATAATCGGCAATCAAGGCTAATTTATATCTACTTCTGTTTGCTCGACAGTATGATAAATGATAAAGGGTTCGGCAAGATCTATGTCTCATTATCAGGGACACAAATAAAGGACAAAGGCACTGGAACAGGAGCCCACCCATCATAAATTTCAGAATTAGTTGTGCAGTATTTGGGGCCCATGATTTGCTTGCACTCCCTTTCATCCCTTATAGTTATTACTAATAATCTTATGCAACATGTGATTACTATAAAATGTGTTGTGTATCCCCCCCCCCCCTTTCCTCCCTCCACCCATCCAGAAAATTGGTTAGTACTCACACTACATTTAATCACATATAAAAGGGGAAATAACGGCTACTTTAAAGAAATAATGAGTACCTTTGTGCCCAGCAATTTGATGTATGATATAGTATCCATGGATACCCCAAATTTGCAGATCAATTTTATAAGGGCTGCACTGCCTAGCTGTTTTCTTTCAATTCAAGGGGGTATTTTTTTGTATAGTTTCTTGGATAGAATTGATGATGCAATTGCAACATAAGTATGGTAAATAAGTAGTACATCCAGCTCTTTCCCATACCATTGTGATATACCAGTAATGAACATCTGCTCCTCTCTCCCCCCCCCCCTCCCCCCCCCCCCCAAAAAAAATTATACCTATATATAAAATTAATTTGTATACCAGTATACATTTTCATATTGTACACAAGTTTGGCTACCACGGGTAATACAATTCCTTGATATTGGTAGAACAAAGATGTTCATGAATAGCATACTTATTCTCCAATACCATAACCTTTATTTCTCCACCCACCCCGATTCTGCAATTCTAGTCAACTAAAAAAGGAATAAAACATTAAAAAATCTTTGTCGAAACACTGCACGTACCTTCCCACAAGATTAACGGCACCACTAGCCGTCCTGGGAGGAAAGAACTCCAAGGAGAACCACCGATCCTTGCTGGCGATGCGATTGGCGATCTTCTCCGAGAGTCGCATGAAGGGCATGACAGGCTCAGGGGAAGGGCTGCGGGAGAGGGACGTGGGTGTCAGGTTTCCGTTCTGATGCAGTGACTGTATGAGGTTTTGCAGGCCCAGGGCCGATTCCTCCTGCACCTGCTTCAATGGAACTCCATTTTGATCTACCCGCGTCACGACCGCCATGCTGGTCGTAAAGAGATGTTGCACTGAAGATTGTCTCCAAGATCTTTCGCTTTCGTATACTTGGAAGTACTGTCACAAATTGAGTCTGTGGGTAAAATAAAAAAGATCATGATTTTATAGAAATTGAACAGTTGATAGCTGCTAATGGGAAAATAGGTCTTTATTAGACAAAAACATCACTTTATACTCGCAAACTGACAGTGTACATACATTATTCCAGATTGGATTGGAACAAAAAATAATTAAAATTACTTTTACCCAGTGGGATTATCCCACAGCCATTTAAATTAAATAAAAAAATTAACACATCTTTTTTGTCTGAAATAACAGTATATCATTTCCTTTATTTAAAAAAAATGAAAGAAAGAAAAGGAAATGATACATGAATAAGGGTTCTTCTCAAAGACTCATGACTAGAACCTAGATGATAAATCGATACTGAAATATATTCTATAGACAGATCTAGTCATAGGAATTTACAGTCGATGTACATGTACAGAACAAGTAATAATACATAAAATAATATAGTCTAGATCTAGTAATAGTTGAGGCACACCTTTTAAAAAGGCATTTTTAAAAGAAAAAGTGAACCACCCTCCTCATCCTTCTGATGGTGATGAAGACTGTTACTTTAGTCTTTACTATTTAGACTAGACTTTAGTTTTTACATCCTTCTTAATTATTATCAACCAAAGTAGTAAATAAAAGCTCAGTTTAAAACTGTAAATATAACCAATGCTATAAAATGAAACATGCAAAGAAACTATGATATTTGCACTTGTTTCAGTAGTACTAGTAGTCGATCCTGCAGCTCATGCGCTGCGACCAACTGACCAAGGCAATTCCAGCAGCGGCCAGCGGTATGCACAAATTAAAGACGGAGAACGAGCTGGCTTTGTTAGCTACATGTAGTTCGCTGCTGTGCATGCCGCTAGCTGACCGGGGATCTCCTTGTCCATGCCCATGGCCATGACATTTTTAATGTTCAATGGATGGGAAGTGTTTTGTTTCTCTTCCCACAAGATGGTCCTTGGAATGGAATACAGTCTGATGTTGATGTCAAGGATTCTGCTGTTTATTCACATAGCATGCAGGCAAATGAATTCAAATACAAATAATACGAGCTGTCACACATTGTTGTTCCTGCTGTTGTTGACATTTCAGTAGTAATTGCAAACACACATGTAATGTGTGTGTGTCTAGTCTGTGTGTGTATGCTATGCATGCACACAGCTGATACCTTCGCATCGCGTAGTCTGCAGGATGAAGGTTTTTTTCTTAGTTCGCTCTGCGCTACGGCGCAATAATGCAAGCTCTTGGCTAATCGAGATCAGCAGAAGAAAAGAAAATCACCAGCAATATATACTCACAGCTATATTCACAACTTACCGAAGCAATAGTGTCGTATTAAATCTATTCACATACAACCAACGCCTGCACCGAGGAGTTGGGCGAGACTACGAAATCTATGTCGTGAGCGTAAGCTTGATATACGTGCGTGTTGTGCGAAGGTTTGAAAGCGAAAGAGGACTTGCCCAGGTTGCGGCGAACATTTGTATATACTTTTCCGAGGCACTTTTCGTTTAACGCCCTCTATAGTGACATTCCATGTAAGGTCACCAAAGGGATTGAAGGTTGTGTTCGGAAAAATAAAATCACGAGTTGAACACATGCATTCATCATATCATTCGTGAACCTACTGTGCAGGCGCGGATCCAGGGGCATGAAAAACAGGTGTGTTTTTTTTTTTAAAGATGGTAACATTAATTTTAGCTTTTTTTAAACAACAAATGAAAATGTGCCCCACCCCGTAATTAATTCTTTTTCTTTCTTTTCATGGGATCAGAGACATTTGGACACAACAAGTTCGTTTTAGTGCTCAGTCATACGATAGAATATCAAGTTTCAACACTTCAAAATGCACTTCCTTTCTTTCTTTTGGTCAGTATGCACTCTCGAGGTGCCCCCCCCCCCCTCCCTGGCAAAATGCTGGCTACGTCGGTAGATCTATACTTTTTTCCCTTTCATATATGAAAGGTATTCATCATGCAATATCGGTTATTATTATGAAATTCAGCATTCTCTCTGTCTCTCTCTCTCTGTCTCTCTGTCTCTCATCTCTCTCCCTCTTATAGATTGTCCCCTAATTGCGTCATCGGCGGATCCAGGGGGGGGGCCGGGGGGCCCGCCCCCCCCCCCCCCCCTTGAGAATAAAAATCATGTAAAATCACGTGATTTTTACCTTTTTTGGGGGTTGGGCCCCCTGGCGCTCAAGGGGGGGGGGGAGTGCAAATTGAATTTTTTTTGAGGATCCAAAAAAAAAAAAATGTGCTCACTCCCCCCCCCCCCCCCCCCCCCCGTTAACTCTAGACCTATACTCTCTTGTTTCAAAGACTGCCGCTTCTACACTATACTAACTTTATTTTGTATATTTGGTAAAAATCAGTATCATTTTCACATTCTCCACGTAAACAATTATGTCAAAATGCTTTTTTGTTTCTTCTTCACGTTGCTCGTGTTATAGTAATGTCATTTTTAATATAAAAATGTACACAACACTAATCATGACTGCATATAATAAAGGCACACATAATTTTTCCAGCAAATACTAATCAAACATTTAAAAATATATTTAAAAACACAGCACTAAATAAAGTTAGAGAGGAATTGGGAAACTGAAGGAGAGTAAAGCAGAAGAAAAGAATGGGGATAGAGAGAGAGAGAGAGAGGGATAGAGAGAGAGAGAGAGAGAGAGAGAGAGAAAGGGATAGAGAGAGAGAGAGAGAGGGGATAGAGAGAGAGAGAGAGAGAGAGAGAGAGAGACTGTACAATACTGTACATGATTAGAGTAAAGGGTGATTGAAAATGAATTAAAACAATATTCAGGAAGTATAAGGTAAAATAAGCAAATGAAATGTGTATGATCGGAAGTTGCTATAAAGTTGATAATCAAAAAATAAAACCAATATAATTGTGATAATTATAATACTACATCAAAATGGTGGAACAGGGATATGTGAGTTTATCCCTGCCAGTGGGTGGAATGTACTTTGGGTGGCAAATGGACGGCTTTATAATGATTATACACACTATTTTATATATAGATATATATATATATATATATATATATATATATATATATATATATTCATCATCAATGGAAGAAAACGGATCATAATTATTCGTAAATATGCAGTGGAATATATTCTGAGGACGGAATGACCTTCTCTTCTATAATACTGAATAACAATGCTAGACTGTTCCATTTTATACTTAAAACACATTTTGAGTGTAGTAGACCAACAACAATTACGGTGCGATCCGGCAATACCTGCTATCATGTCCAAGAATGGTAATTCAATAACAGCTCACTATAATACATGGCGTGCTAATCATAAGCTATGCTTTTCAAAATGAGTGTAATTATTTATAACATCCTATGATCTTTTACTAATATACGCTAAGCAAAGCATTCATTTAAATAAAATTTCGTTCTCTGTGTACATAACATACACGTCTACTACGAGTTGAACATTTTCCAAAACGTCAAACTTTTGAATAGAGGTAGAGTCAGGGCTGGACATGGGGAACCACTTCACCCCCCCCCCCTTCCTCCATTGAACAATTTCCTCTTGCATTAAAACAATGCATTTAAAGCGCAACTAAACAAATTAAACCCATCTCTAATTATTCAATCACGTCCGCGTATTTTGGACCTGCGGATCTCTTTTTTTTGTGCAAATTTTTTACTCAAGAGGGTCAGGTGTAATATATTTCTCTTAAAAGGAATGACAAAAACTCACCATCAGGATCAGTCAACACTGTCAGTAATTTTTTTTTTTTTGTGAACACTTCGTACAAACATAAAACTCCCAACAACTGAATAGTATATGTAATAAAAATAAATAATCAAGTGTCCAAAAGGAGGTCATTTAGCAGAGCACACACAAACACAAATTTATGCAAACAAATCATTATTATTGATTTGCAGGAATTTGGTAGATCTATGACACGACCCTGCATGCATGTCGTGCATAATCCGTACCTGACAGCCAATTAGGATTTTTAAATTAAATAAATATCATATTTTTTATAATCATTACAGACGATGGCTACATTTTACCATTACCATTCATTTAGAATCCTACGAATACTAGGCCTATATTTCAGATAAAAATTATGTTGATTGAAAATCTTTTTTTTAGGTAAAAAGTGCTCGACTTTATATTTGTACCACATCAAGTTGTTTGCCAAATACACGCCAAAACAGTAAAATTATTCTCTTATACAAGAAAAGCCGTGGCTTAATTCTTTAGATAATATTTTGTTTAGAATGTATCTTTCATAATAAACAACGTCGCGATCAATGAAACCAACAATTCTCACTTCCGAACATAATACTTGTTACTAATAATATTCAATCCTGGGTTAATAAAGGCACCTGATACCAATAATCGAGTCAGCAAAGTACCGTAGCGGATTACCCAATGTGGTCGGTTAATATCAGAGCAGAATATAATCTGATAACCTAGGTGATATAGTTGCAATAGTAAGGTACCGGAACTATATTGTCTCCTAGAGTATAGTGATGACCGAGTAAGATACTGAGGAAACAAGTCTTCCAGCGCGCGCGCGCTACTCAGCTACTGTAGATCGCCGCCTTTAGATTATATTCTGTAACAGTAAGTTGCTGGGAATGCTTGTGCGGAATACGCGTGCGTATTATCAGGGAGTGCAGCCTATGCGAAATACAGCATGCATGCTCGACCCGCTTTAGCGGCGGATCCAAGAGTTTTTTTTTTAAAGGAGGGGCATGAAGTGTTAAATCGGCGTGGGGTCCGGAGCCAAAGGGCCCCGGAAAAAAATTGAACAATAAGATGCTTTATGGTACATTCTGAGGCATTTCTGAATGCGTAAACTGAACATTTATTTGAAAATTCTTGGCTTTTTTTGGAAGGAAAAGGGGACATTAAAACCCCGATGCTCCCCATGGGTCCGGCCTAGCTAGCTGGCAGGGCTAGCTAGCGCGACCCGGCAAGGCTAGCTCTCTGCAGTACGCCCAGGACTGGCGTCGACCGCCGGCGTCCCCGCTAGAGCCGCAGAGCTCGTACCTGCGGTTAGCATCAGATACAGTTTCAGCTGGTCGGCGCAGCTAGCCTTGCCCTGCTGGTGGTTCCTTGTCTTCACTCCAAAAATATCTACAATGTATACCGTAAGTTTTAAATATATAGATCTAGATATTCATCTTAGTCAGAGGAATAATCGATAGAGTCTAATTATAAGGACTAATATTGTTTGAAAACCATTTGCCTTTGTATTTCATGAGACCTAGACCTATCTAGATCTAGAGTCTAGTCCCAAATATAAACTTTTCTGTGTGTGATTCTATCGTTATTTGTGTGTGTGTGTTGGCAATTTTTCTACGAAAAAGTGTTGTACAATCAAAATTCATCCAACTTGAGCATACCAAATTCCACTTCACACTCCTATAATTTCAATGCATAAGTCTAGCCATTAATTAACCGGTATCGACGTCATAAAACTCATTGGATTTCCTGATATTAGGCCTAGTACTTTTCCACACATGCAGTGTAGATTTCTAGGTCTACAAAACAAATACCGGTAGCCTAGAAGTAGATCTAGATCTAGGTGTCTAGGCCTACTAAATTATAAATAGGAGAAAATGTAAATTATTGTTCAATTGAATATTGAATATAGATCTAAATCATTATGATGCTTCAAAATCATACTGCAGTTTAAATAACCTAATAAAAATCAGTTCTCTTATTTAATTTCATCTGATTCACACTCACAGTCACAGCTCAAAATCGCGTTGAAAAACTGCAAAAAATGCCCCTTGAAAGCTTGATTTTATTCCATTGCACTTTGTTTCACTAGCGTTTGCGCATCGATAGACTTTATGATAGACTCTGTCTAGATTAACAGAAAATTCAATGAAATTTTGGGCAAACCTTGATAATACTGCGGCTATTTGTGCTGCTCACTCTCCTCATTTGGCATGTTTGGCGCTATATAGCCAATGTACTATGTAGGTATTTCATTTTAAATAATTATTTTATAGTCAAGATGACCATATTGTCTACAAATTCTTGACATGCTTGTGAAATATTCCACCACTCATTCAAGGACTCTGCACAGTATAGCCTAACGGTTCATTGTGCGCAATGCTTGCACATGTCTGTAGATTATATAGGCCTACACGATAAAAAACAACAACAATGGTTTATTCACAAAATCAGTAGGGGTGCTGGTACGTGAATAAGCATCGTCCGCATAAACGACAATACCCTCGTAAACGCAGACCATTCGCATCCAGAAAAATGAGGATCATCCACATTTTTGTTAAGGATCCGGATTCCTGATCCGCGCGTTGGTGATGCGAAAAACGAATTCCGCGATGATGCTCCATAATGCATTTTACACTTACGCAGAGACTTTCACTTTTATGAACAATAAATCCTAGGGAAGACGGACAACCCATAGAAAGTAGACGGTGAACTGGGGGTATTTTATTACACGGAATC